CACCACCACCACCACCACCACAACAACAACAACAACAACAACAACAACAACAACAACAACAACAACAACAACAACAACAACAACAACAACAACAGCCGCAGCCGCAGCCGCAGCCGCAGCAGCAGCAGCAGCAGCAGCAGCAGCAGCAGCAGCAACCACCACCACCACCACCACCACCACCACCACCACCACCACGACCCTGGTTCAACAACAACCACGACCCTGGATCGCGCTAGCTTGCAACCCGCGCGGCCGATCGGCCAACGTGCGCCGCAGCACATCGACGAAGCGCCCCGCGCTGTTGGAGTGCTCCTCCCACCACTCCGCGAACCTGCGGATGGGAAGTGCGAAAGGAGGGAGGGGGGAGGATGGGGATGGGAGGATGGAAAAGGCGAACTGAAGCCGATGCGCTCGAAACTGTCTCCGTGGGTTTCTTGCTTTAGGGCAAAACTGGGCTCTCCGACCCGAAAAGAGAAGGTGACCCGCGAATTTGGCTGCTCTGCAAATGAATCACAGCCCCAACGGACCCATGAGAGGATTCCTGGGATGGCATGAACATCTCTTCCTTCTTTTCCGACGGCAAACATGTGAGTCCATTCTGTCCTCAGATCCGCTAAAAGTTGTTTTTTCCCCAGATAGCTGAAAGCTATAGGGGTTCTAACTTCTAATAAAGAGGGGGAAGTGGTTTGCGAGATTGATGGGCTGGTGCTAAGGGGCGTGCAGTTTGGGGTGCTGGTTTTTGCGGACTGGGGTGCTGTTTGAGGTGCTGATGGCAGTGCGGGCGCATCTTCTCAAGATTGACGGTAGGGTGCTAGGGGGCATGCAGTTTGGGGGGGTGCAGGTGCTGTTTTGGGGGTGATGGTGTTTTTGCATCTTGACGGTAGGGTGCACGGGGGCATGCAGTTTGGGGGTGCTGGTGGTGTTTTGGGATGCTGTTTGGGGAGCTGTTTGAGGTGCTGGTGACGGTGCGGGCGCAATTTGCGATATTGACGCCCGGGTGCTATCGGGCATGCAGGTGACGGTGCAGGCACATGGTTGCATCTTGACGGTAGGGTGCAAGGGGGCATGCAGCTTGGGGTTCTGGTGCAGGTGGCGTTTTGGGATGCTGTTTGGGGTGCGGCTGGGTGTTTGGGGGGGTGCTGTTTGGGGTGCTCTTAGGGCGACGGTGCAGGCGCATTTTTGCGAGATTGACGGCAGGGTGCAGGGGGCATGCAGTTTGGGGTGCTGCTGCAGGTGCTGTTTTGCTGTTGGAGGTGCTAGTGATGTCGCGGGTGCTCGATTGACGGCCGGGTGCTGTTTGGGACGCTCTTCGGGGGGTGCTGTTGGAGGTGCTGATGTGCAATCATTGCTATCTGGGGTCTATGCTGGTGAATTTTATTTTTATTACAAATATAAAAGGAAGAAAACAAAGTGGCTTGATTGGAAACTACAACTAAAAGCTAGAAAGCTAAACGCCTAGGCAATTGTTGCATTTGTTGCAATCATTCCTCGAGCTTTTCCAATTTTGGAGTCCAAGGTCAAAAAACTCAAGGAATAATTGCGAAACAAAAAATGAAAAAAGGTGATTTATTGCATGGTTTTGCATGTTTTACATGTTTTGCATTTTTCCCCGGAGTCGTTTTGACGTTCGACTCCAAAATTGCAAAAACTCGAGGAATAATTGCAAAAATTGAAAACAAAATGCAAATCTGGGGGGTCTACCCTGGAGGCCCAGACTGGACCTGGGGAATTGCAAAATCCGCAATGCTAAATTTTGCAATTTTTAAACCACCAAGCTGTTGATAGGGGAGGGGAATCAAGGTGAACACAGAATAAAGTGGACTAACCGAAAGAAATAGAGATTCAAGCGTCCAAACAACTGCTATGTTGGCAAACAACTGTTTGTTGTTTCCTCAGCTGGGTTGCCCACTTCTTGTTATCTTTAAAAATGCCAGCCCGCTGCTACGCGTACAGGCAGAAAACATGAGGAAAGGGGATAAAGCGTGGACGGGACATCGCCCATTCGGGGGTCCGCGAAACGTCTGGGAAGCACCCCATTCCCCTAGCTCTAGATTTACCAAATCCTGGGTTGTTTCTTACGAACCAGGGCTCCAATCCGTGCCCAGCACGGATTGGCCGGCAAAAGGAAAGGCTCTCAAGTTGACATTTTCGAGGGATGTTCTTTTTGGGGAAAACCCTCAAAAAGGGATTGATCATTTGTGTGTGTGTGGTGTTTTTCCTTTTTTTTCTCCTTTTTTTTTTTTGGGGGGCGATTCAACTGCTCTAGGGCACAAACCCACCATCCTACATGGACCCAGCAAAACCTCACAAGCCCGGGGTGGGAAAAAGAAACCGACCGTTGCTTCAGCTTCTCACTCACTGGGTGGTTTCCCAGCTGTACAGGGGTTCAAATCTCCAACCCAAACCAAAGGCTTCCCTGAGTTAGTTGATTTCAAACAAAAAAGAACCTCCAGAAGGGAAAAAAGGAAGAGCAAAAATGGGTACTGAGCAACCGGGAAACCCGATTCATTTGAAGAAGACTCTCCCAGATCCACTCTTTGAAAGCTCTATGTTCATGGGGAGTCGAGAAAATGGGCCTGATTTTCGGAGGTTGCCCTTTTCAGGTTGGTTCAATGGGCGACTACCAGGAAAAACCTCATTTGTGTTTCCCCTACTTTGATACATACCCAAATGAGGCACAGCAAAATTACTTGTGTCCCCAAGAGGACATGGGAAAAATGAACCCAACCATCTGGGCTGCCCTAAGATCCCCCGCTCAAAGTTTAACTGTTAGTGGGCTAAATGGAAACCACCACTAAACCCTAAAAAGCCTAAAAAGCTAAGAACCGGACGGGCTGGGGGCCACCAAGTTAAGCATTGCCTGCACCCCAAGGCCCACCCAAATGGCCATGGGTCAAAACCTCTGTTACCCCACAGTGAACATCCCAATCCCCTCTAAAATAGGTTCTAAAACGGGTGGTGAATTCACCTACCAACCAAAATGGGATCCCAAGACGGTTTTGCCAAGCAAAGCCAAATCGGTTTTTAAAAACCGAGTTGAGCCAAGCAGCTCCTCCGCCGTCAGCACCTCTCTGCCGCTGGGCAGGCGGACGCAGCAGTCCATGCCGATGGCATGGAACGAAAACCGGAAGATCGCGTCTCGACAAAGGGCTTCTTCTAAAATGCCAACAGGGCCCACCATTTTTAGAAACACCTGTGGGTCTGTCTCTTATCGAGTCCCCTTCCGTGGTGGTGTAGAAAAAAAAACAAAAGGCAAAATAGGATCTCGTGCTGGGCAAGAAACCCCATTTTTCCCATGTATGACCACTGAATTTCTTGGCTACCAACACCTCCGGCCATGGCGAACCAAAGCTTCCGAGGTCAGCTCTTGGCCAAACCGAAATCGCCCCGTGGGCTGAATGCAGAGATCGGCGAGGTGCGAGCTCCTTCCTGCGCCCAAAGGGCACACTGAAGCCATTTACGCTCTAGCAAAGCACCTTTGCCAGCATATGTAGGCAACTTGTTGTTTGGGTTCCTTTCAATATCTGTCCCAACCGGAGTTCCCAATTGTCGGAAACGCTCACGTCATAGTGCAGCACTGGGTCCAAAACAAGCATAAGTGCCGCAATACGCTGCAATCCGGAGGCTTCACGATGTTTCCGTTGCCTGTGCGGCGTGAATGGCTGAGGTTGATGGTCCAAGCTCCCTATGTCAGAGACTGTCAGAGTGTTTCCCTTGGTGTCAACTCGTACAAGTCTTGTCTACAGCCCCAAGGGCTTCATGGCCAAGCCTTCCAACAAGCCAAAACGGCTGGGACACGGCCGGTGATCGAACGAAAGAAAGAAAGCAGAGACCAAGAAAAAGAAACAAGTACGAATTGAAGGACAATAAAGAAAGCAAGAAAGAAAGAAAGAAAGAAAGAGAAGGAAGAAAGAAAAAGAAGAAAGAAAGAGAAGGAAGGAAAGAAAGAAAGAGAAGGAAGAAAGAAAAAGAAGAAAGAAAGAGAAGGAAGGAAAGAAAGAAAGAGAAGGAAGAAAGAAAAACAAGAAGAAAGAGAAGGAAGGAAAGAAAGAAAGAGAAGGAAGAAAGAAAAGAAAGAAGGAAGAAAGAAAGAGAAGGAAGAAAGAAAGAAGAAAGAAAGAGAAGGAAGGAAAGAAAGAAAAAGAAGAAAGAAAAAGAAGAAAGAAAGAAGGAAGAAAGAAAAAGAAGAAAGAAAGAGAAGGAAGGAAAGAAAGAAAGAGAAGGAAGAAAGAAAAAGAAGAGAAGGAAGGAAAGAAAGAAAGAGAAGGAAGAAAGAAAAAGAAGAAAGAAAGAGAAGGAAGGAAAGAAAGAAAGAGAAGGAAGAAAGAAAAAGAAGAAATAAAGAGAAGGAAGGAAAGAAAGAAAGAGAAGGAAGAAAGAAAAAGAAGAAAGAAAGAGAAGGAAGGAAAGAAAGAAAGAGAAGGAAGAAAGAAAAAGAAGAAAGAGAAGGAAGAAAGAAAAAGAAGAAAGAAAGAGAAGGAAGGAAAGAAAGAAAGAGAAGGAAGAAAGAAAAAGAAGAAAGAAAGAGAAGGAAGGAAAGAAAGAAAGAGAAGGAAGAAAGAAAAAGAAGAAAGAAAGAGAAGGAAGGAAAGAAAGAAAGAGAAGGAAGAAAGAAAAAGAGAAAGAGAAGGAAGGAAAGAAAGAAAGAGAGGAAGAAAGAAGGAAAGGAAGGAAGGAAGGAAGGAAGGAAGGAAGATAGAGAACACCCTGGAAAAAACTATCCGCCAAGTTCCCGCCACGAACTTCCACTACCCCAAAGGCGACAGCATGAGTTCCACTGTCATACACCTCCAAGGGGCAGTATGTGGAGGGCTATCCCGGGATCAACCCAGGAACAAAATATCCCTTTTGACTTAGGAAACACTGCCCGCATGGGTTCCTTCAAGAAGACTTGACAATTGATGGACTGGAAGTTCCAATGCCAAGTCTGAAACCTACACGTGGCTGTCCGAAAAATAATGGTCCCCTTACCGCTGGCCTGACCACCCCTTCCGCTTCGCCTATCGAAGCGGACCGCGAAGAGGTCCAAGTCGCTGACCTCCGTGTCGCAGACCGAGAAGATGGCGCGCCCGGCCTCGCTTGGTTCAACTGAAATTCTGGAAGTTCGGTGCCCGGAATTTCAACCCCCAACAGACAGGTTGACCCACCTAGGCAAAAGGTGGTGAAATACGAAGCCAACCATTCTTTTGAGGGTGGTAACTGGAAATTCAGGGGTAGCCTCGGAAGAAGACCATAGTATACTCGGTTGCTTTCTGCTCCCCCGCTAAACGTGACTAACTTTTAGCGGTTTAATTCAGAAAACCCAGTACTTGGCAAAAAGTTCAAGTCCTAACATCCAAGGAAAATGCAACAATCAAAACCGATCGGTGTTAAAATTCCAGGGAACACTACTAATTCCATTCTTTCCGGGGATCCTTCTTTTCAAAAAACCATCAGAGACTCAGGGGAAACAGCTAGGGAATTAACCCTAGAAAAATGGTCTACCCAAATGCATGTAAGGAAATTAAAAGGCGACACCTATGTATGGCGACTGGCCCTAACCTTCATCTACCCACTAAAGTGGACCCACATGCATGTAGGGAAACTAAAAGGCGGATTTCCGCACCCATGTATCGCTGAGACTGTCCCTTACCAAACCTTCTACCCCGGTTTTGATTGTGGCTCATTTCGAAATGAACTGTCCAAATATAGTTGTTTACCCACATGGGTCATGGGCAAAAAAGAGCTCATCATTGGTTGTGGTTGAAATCTTTTGGTTTCCCTTTAAAACCTTCCAAAAAGGGGGATCCTCCGAAAAGACGAGACACCATAATATACTGATATTTACAGGAACAACTTCTCCCCGGTGCAGATAACTCCGCGACATGACATCCACCTTCGGGGGTCCACAAGAAGATTCCAGCAGTTCTCGTGTTGGGTTCACGGTTCTAGGCGTACCTTCCATGTCCATTCTCTTCAAGGCTCCTTCTTCAACGAGAAATGGCTAATCTGCTGGGAAAATGGGCGGTTTTAAACCTCCATGTTTGCGGGCGTAAATTCCTTTTGCGCAGTTCCGTGGAACATGTGCAGAGGTCGAGGAAAACCTCACTCAATATTTACCAACCACCAAAAGGCGTAGAAGGATTAAACAACTTTGGTGATCAAACACCGGTGTAGAACAAACAGTGGAACAGCCGACGGTGGAAAAATAATCCGACGGGATCCTAGGCCTGGCGTTGTCCGTCAGACAAAAGCAAATCTTTCTTCGGGGTCGCCAAACCTTCACGAGGGTTTGTCATCCATTTTCGGGGGGAGGAACCTGAGAAATGAGATCTAGGGAATAAGAATTAACCATCGAGTTCTCGTGGCTCGAACATGTTTCTTTCCCTCAGAATCCTACTGCTTGAAGGATCACTACAATGTGTTTTGGCCAGAAACAAAGCCAGGCACACACCATGCGGAAACAAACGCAGGCGAACAAATTTGGGCAAGCATTAGGAATTCCCCTTTTGCAGTGGTCCCCAAACCATCAAATTTAAGACAACATCTTCATTTTCAAAAAGTAAGGCAAAACAGTCCCACAAAGGGGGTTGTCCGCAAGAGGCCCCGATGATGTTTAATCTGACTGTTTCGTTTTTCGCGTTCATGTCCAACTTGTTTGGGGGGCGGGTGAAACTCCCAAACCAGAGCCCCAGGGTGGCTCCTAAGCTGTTCCAAGCTCAAAGGTCCAAGCCTTGGCGACTTGGCGATGCGAAAGCTGGACTTGGCAATACTGAAGGAACTACCAGCCAGTCGAAGTCAAACCAGACCCCCAACTTTCCCAAAGAAACCCTTCGGTGACTGCTTCCACTTTTTAGGAGATGTGACAAAACCCAAACACTCCATCATCTTCTATTTGCTTAAGCCCCTGGAAAATATTTCCAGTAGTGATAGATTCCCTTTAACACCAAAAAGGAAGGATAAAACCACATTCCTTATGGAAGTCTTGAAGTCATGGGTAGGTAAGCGTGTTCCTGTTTTGAGGGCCCAGGAGCCGGCCCATCCGGGAGCGCTGCAAAAAACAAACTTCGCGAGACAAATCACTGGCCTGGCTGAGTCTGGCGCTATTCTTCTACTAGCACCACGAACAAAGCCATAGATTGGGATAGAGGTATCCAAATCCAGGTACTCGCGCTCCAGGGCGAACCAATCGATGGCCTGCTCGGTCTTGACGATTTGGCCAATGGAATGTCCGAGCTTTGCTGCGGCGACAAAATACTGGATTTTGTGCCGCCGATTCATTTCGGTGTCGTCTGTACGCAATCGATCAGACCGGGACGTATTGCTGATGAGGCTCTGAGGGTTCAGTACGGTGATGTTTCCACCAACGCTGCAAACACGAGCGTGGCCCCCCCCCAAAGTGGTGGGTTACACAGTGAAACAGCCCCATTTTCTGACTTTGATCACCCCCAGAAACAATCAAATAATGACCCAGCTGGGTTGTTGGGCTCTTTCCCGCTGCCGGCACTGTTTTCCCGACTGACCTTTATTTTGAGTTGCTGGTTGCTTTTGGCGGAATCTGTCCAACACGCCGCAAGAACAATGAGAGATATGTTTCAGGGGACTGCAGGTCTTGGTCTGCTTCGGCAACCCATGTTGGGCCACACCCTCCCAACACAAACTCACCCCCGTCCATATGGCTGTGGGTCAAAAATGTGTATCCATTCTGGAACCCTAGTAAATGGAACCAAGGGCTAAAACCTGCGGTCCAATTCCTGGTGCTTTAATTTTGCCCCATACCCCTCTCCCCGATCGCCTCATCCAAGACTCCGAAGGGCTCTTTGGAAGGCTTCAGCTCCTCTTGGCACCTGGCCGGCCAAAAATTCTGATTCGAAGCGAGCGGGGTAGAAGTTTGGGCTAAGAGCATAGGTGGCCTTTCGGAAGAATAGATGGCCCTGGTAAATGGAACAAAACCCATTTAAACCAGTGCCATCTATTTTTAACCAGGCTCACCTAAAAAGGACACCTATGGCCAAGAGTTTACTGGGAAGCCCGGAGTAAGAGCCCCTGGTTGCTTTCAATCTGGGGTGTTCCCTTTTGAGTGCTTGGATTTCCCGGCCACTGTTGGAGGACCCCCGTATTCGTAGGATGGGCTGCTCAATTCGGGGCCAGCATTACTCCTAATGACCCATGTTGGCTTTCTACCCTAAAACTCCGTTCCAATTTAGGCTTTGAGGGTAGGGCTTCCTTCAGGCTTCCTTCAAACAGCCCCCTGAAAAACCAACGAGCCAGGTCGTTTTCGCCGAATCCGTTTGTGGCAAAAGACCTGGAAATCAGTCAGAACAGCAGGGGACCCACAAAAAATGGAGGGAAAATGGAGTCGTTTGGTCTCCCTTTGAACCAAGGAAAGGCACGTACACACACAAAAACATACAACACACACACACACGCATGCACGCACGCACGCACGCACGCACGTACGCACGTACAGTACTTTTCCAGGGCTGCTTCAAAGACGTTGTTTCTTGGAGGACAAGAGACCAAATACAAATAGCCTACTTAGTCTTGTGGCGTCATTTTGAGGTTCCGGGCAACCCTTCAAAGAGAAACCCATCTGGGTGTATTACAATCATTTCTGGCTTTTCTTGCTTTGTTCTTGCTTTTGTTTGCCATGGAAAACCCAAAGATCCAAATTTGGGCCGTTTGCGATCGTGTCGCAAATGTGGCAAGCAAATCACGGTTCTTGCTTTTGACATGCCCCCGGTGTTCTCGCGACTTTCTTGCTCCAACTCTCACTCCCGAAATCGCAGAAGAACCTGTTTTGACCCCCCTCAACAGTTGGCTGGATATCAAAAAAGTACTTCGCATGTGGCAAAGAAAAGGGACCCCAAAACCGGGCTTTCTTCTTGGTGTCCCTTAGACCACCAAAACATGCTACCCTCAAAAACACACACACACACACACACACACACACACACACACACACACACACAACACACACTGTGGAGTTTGTTGGTGCGAAGTGGCGAGATCTGAAGGTCGTTGATGCTCCTGGCCTTACCTGGCTGTTCCAGGAAATGTCAGTAAAATGTTGAGGTCGTAGACTGATCCTTAGCGACCCCGACAATTGTGCTTTTTCCCAAGCGGGTGGTTGAACCCAAAATGCTCAGCTCTTTGGCCCTCCGATTTCTCTTTCAGGTTGCAACTCCCCAACCCTTGGTGAGCGAAAAACAAAGGTGAGGGACCTTTGCCCGCCAAAACCATGCAAAACACACAAACCACAAATGCCACAAACCATAAAGCATCAGACTTACCACATGAAAACAAGAATAGCCTAATGTTGACCCCAGATTAAAATCAACCAACCAGCTAAACATAATAGGGGGGGCCAAAAGTTTTGGCCCCTCCAACCACTAATCTGGTTCCAACCACATTTGACCCAGGGACGCCCCCTACGAAACCAGCCTGGGCGGCAGCAGCTTGAGGCGCATGCGCCCAGTAGCGCAAAGGATCCACCTGGGGCACAATCAAGAACAATCCAATGGCTCAGCCAAGGCAGAAGCAACCGGTGTGCTGTTGGTTTCCCGTGCAGCCCAAGGACTGCACCCAAATGAGTCATAATCAAACCCAGGACCCAGAACCATGCTTCAAGAATTAGAAAGCCGGAAATTTCCGCAACTCTTTCCGGCTGGGACTGCCCCTTACTAACCGGATCATCAATCCCCGAATCGGTTTTGAGGAGTGCAAAAGCCGTGGACACGGAGCGTGGGCACCGGTGTTGCTGGTGGTTTCAGGGGCGCGGAAAGGAAAACCACCACGGACCGGGGCGTCCCGCAGAGAGAACCAGGTTTTGCCCCTGTATCTACGTAGGGGATTAGAGGCCTCACTAAGGCCTTAGAGGATCCCTACAAATCGAACGGGACAACTCCAACCAAGAGCGTGCAAATCCGCCCGCTTGCTTCTTTACATGGCTCCATTTGCATTTTCTGCGTGGTTGATCTACCTCAGGATCTCCCCCAACCAAAAAATGGTTTGTTTGACCCTGGTCATGGTCCATCGTTTCTTAGGTCGCATGTGTATCTGGAAGACCGAGTGCGTATGACCAAAGACACACGAGCCCTCAACCAACTGGGTGTTTCTCCTCTAGCTTTTAACCACGCCCAACATACGTACCTGAAACAAATTCATTGCCATAATATCGGACTTGCGCGGTCGGTCCCCATCTTTTTCGCAGACTGATGCATATGGGTTGTTAGAGGTCCCTTATCCGCTTGTGGTAGCATTGCCAGCTGCTATGTCCATGCCTCGGCTTCGAGCAACCAGGCCCCATCAAAACACTCCTGCTTTCAAAGGCTGATTCCTCATGCAACTTGTCAACTAGGAGGTCACACCAGAAGTTCAGCTATGGGTTTGTATTCTGCTTCTGGTCAGAAGGAAAGGCCAGCATACGATCGGATAGAGGCCCTTGGGGCAACCAGGACCGGAGAAAAATAATGGTGGATGTATAGAGCGTTCTTTCCCTGAGACGTTTTCAAGGCTACCTCCAAGGATCAGTGTATAAACCCTGAACCTCTAAACAAAAAAACTGCTAGAAGCCACGAACCCGCGGGACAACAGACTGGGTGAGGGTCCCCTCCCTACCCGGTCAGGTAAATCAGAGCGGGGGGCCAGCCCAAGGCTGCGCTGCAGCTCGTCGCCTGCTCGTTGCATCTGGCGCTGCCAGCTTGTCCAGAGCCTTCGGGCGAGCAGCCACCTCGCCATGGAATTTCGGCCCGCACGGGCTCCAAGTTCACCCTGCGAGAAACATCTCTCGCCCGGTCGCCGGTCACGCCGTTGCCCAAGCATGCACGAAGCCACTAAGGCTATGCAGCTTGCACACGCCCTGCCTATGACCCCCCTACCTTTGATCTTGAATGGATCAACCTAGGTTTTTTCACGGGATGTGTCCCAAAAAGTCAAGTAACCTTCAGCTTCATCCTGGATCCCCTTGCCAGTTGCCATACGCCCATAGCAGGAAAACATGGGGAACACTTTTGAGGTTGACCATGTGTAATCTGTCCCCACACCACTCCGCCAAAAGCAAACACCACCTAAAAAGGAGTGAGCCCTGTTAGTCCACCACACCTTGTATCAAGCGACCCCTCTTAGTTGGTGGTCTGGATTGCCCCTGGATCTTGTGGGTAAATGGGAAACCTGCCCCAAACTCAGCCATTCCTTGTACCACTTCTCAGCGCGAGAAATTTCAGCCACGGCGCTGGGGTGCCCAACTGCGCCGCTGCAGTTGGGTGCGGGCCTCAGCAATCACCGCGGATGTCAGAACTTCCCAGGTTACTTCAAATTTCTGCAGGGAAGGGTTAAAGGTTAGCTTCCTTGGCTTGTGTGGGGTAGACAGACAAAAATCGGAAAAATATGTTGAAGATCGCCCCACAAGCAAATCGTCTAACAGTGGGCCAGGAGGTGATGTTATGGTACGGCCTAGGGGTAGGATGAGGCTGGGGAGGGTGTTTCGCTGTGTCAGGAGGGTATGTGGCTGACAAATTTTGTCGGCGCCATCAGCATCGCCTGCATCATCCAGACGCAGTCTGGATCCAAAAAAAAAAAAACGACATCCGGTTCTCCGATGTCATTTTTCCCACCTTCCAAAACCACGGCATATCCTCAAAATCGCCCCTGACAGTGGAGGCATCCCCAGCAACATCCCCTGCATCCTCGCCAATATTCCGAACGCCTCGCATCGCCAGCAGGTCCCCCAGCATCGGACATAGCGAACATGCGTGCGAGCAAGCAAGCATGGGCTTTGCTAAAATGCTAGCGCAGTGGCCATCATACGGAAAAAACATCGCGCACACCGTGCCAGTCATTGTGCAGGGTGTTTGGGGGGGATGTTCGGGGATGCGGTCTTCGCCTCTGAAAAGCTGTTGGCATGCACTTGCGCAGCGCGCGCACGCGCGCGCGCGTGCGTGCGCTGAGCTGAGCAAACCCCTGCAGCCAACCAGCGCAGTTGGTGGGCGAAGCCCCAGGATAGGGAGACTCCCAAAACTTGTAGTTTTTCCCGTTGATGTCCCTTTGCAACCTGGAAAGGGTACCATCAACACCACACCCAGGGTGTCTCTCCGGAAAAATCCAAGCCAGGCCGGCAAGGCAGATGCTTTTAATCTAGCGATGCTCTTTTCAACCGGAAGCGCCCAATGGCAGAGATACTCCTTCCAGACCGGGCGGGTCATTTTTGGCAGCCTGGCCCCAAAACTCCTTCGGCAGCTCCGCCTTCCTGGAGCCCGCAAACAAGACTCAAGAACTGCAAGTCCGTGGGTGAGTTGACGTCAAACCTCCGACCCCGCGGATTTTCCCAAAAGTTGGGAGGTAGATCAGCCTTGGGAAGGTTTTTTGCGAAGGACCTTGGCTTTTGAATGGTCTGTGTTGATGGTTGCAGAGTCCCTGACCATAGCTGTCGCGCTTAGACCCCTTCGCGGAACCCGAGAAGACTACGGAGGATTACATGGGCCATGGGTATGGGCGAGGCATCGGAGGCCCATATAAACGGTTCGCGTAAGCTGTCTTGTGTTGAACCCTTAACTGTCAGAAGTTGACATGATGTGTCCCTGTTCTTGCGAGGACTCAAGCCTGAATGGAGAACCTGGGAAAAGGATGTCTTGATGGTCATGCCCATGGCCGTGACCAGCCCAGCTTACCCCATGTAGGGGAGGTTGCTCAAAATGAGAGGGGGTCCAATTCTTGGGACCAGAAGAGGGTCCCGGCCAGAATCCGCTGATGTGGTCTTAACTCCTACCGTTAAGCGTCTGCCAATGAGATTGTCAGTGGCTGAAATGCTTGTCACAACGCTTGACTATATAGTCCTTAAACATACATATCTATACATATATATATATATACATACATAGAGTCGATGTGTATATATATAATATATATATATATATATGTATGTTGCGCTTTGGGTGTGTGTCACATAACAGCCTCACAGTGGTGGCTTCCCTTTGTCTTGACACCAAGCCCCAAGAAGGTGCCCTCAAAAAGCTACACGACATGTGGGTGTGTCATTTTTCGGGTACCCATTTGGTTGGGAAGCCAAGAAGCAAAACATGTTGCGCCATTTTGGGTGAACAAAAACATCGGACACACCCATTTCTTTCTCCAAATGCCACCTGGTTGGGAAGCCAAGAAAAAAGAAGAGAGACAAATCGTTGCGCCCTTTTGGGGTTAAACAAAAAAACAAAAACGACGCAGACACTCCACACGCAAGCCGCGTGTCCGGGATCTCCCCCCCCCCCTCCCCCGTTTTTCTCGGTGCTTTTCCTGGGCCCCCGGCACCCGCGCCGGCCAGCTGAAGCATCAAAGCCTTTAGGCCAGCGAGTGGATTTCGGGCGATGTGGATCCACTACTAGAAGGGTTCTTCCCCCTTAGTAGAAGAGTAGAAGTCTAGAACTTGAAGAGTAGAAGAAGAGTAGTAGAAGAGTAGAAGAGTAGAAGAGTAGGTCAAATAGGGGGAAGAAAGTACTATGTTTGAGTAGTAGAAGAGTAAAAGAGTAACAGAACCAGGGGGAAGAACAGGTCGAATCCACCAAAAGCGCACTCGAACCGTTTTGTAGATAGGTTCATTCCGACCGCCATGACTTGTTGCTTCGATTTCCCTTGAGGGGATGAGCCCGAACAGAACCATCAAAACTTATGGCGTTCAGGGAATCCGTAGATTCATCCCACGAAGCATTCATAGAATCAACGGCACTGAATGTTCAGTAGCCTGAGTCAAAAAGCTCTGCCACTAGTTGGCAATATCATTGGACTGGATTCATACAATTCCATGAGCCATTGCCATGGCGAACCTCAAGGGTTAATGGTTGAAAGGGGGCCGCTACTAACAAGATTCACTTGCTTGTTCCATAGGTCAGGAGGGAATGACGCCGAACGGAACCATCATTAATAGCATCAATGACACGGAATGTGCAATAGAGCTGGAAGGACTTCAAATCATTGGAAAGGATTTACTTAATTCCATGATCAAGCGAACAAAGAACACAACTAAATATACCAGTCACTCAGAGAACTTTTGATAGGACCCCCACTCCCCAAACACACCTCCAAACATCGTCTAGTTTAGTCTTTCCTTTCTGGGTGTGTGTGTGTGTTGGGCGGAGGGGTGTTCAGGGGGGTGTGAGTCACCGGCTTGCCCCATCCTACCCTCCCTCCCGTCCCAACAGAAGGCAAGTGTGGGGATCGGATACCAATGGAAAGATCAATTTCCTCTTGAAGGGACCCTTGCCAGATCCGGGCAGGCGCAACGAAGGGGCTTTCTTAAACAAACCGAGAGCTCAACTCCTCGCTTCCCATCGAGTGGATTGGCCGAAGGCCAGAAACAGCCCGAACTTGTTGTTTACCACAACGGTCCAACCCCAAGAAGTGACTGCAGTCCATGAACTCAGGAAGTGAGAATAAGAAACAAAGTCGCAGGTGTTGCTCAGACCCCGCAAGCTGAAATTTGCCCTCCGAGTGCCCTGCCGGTGCCAGCTTCCTTCGCACGCTTGGGTCGAACCGAAGAGGACCCCAACCGCCCTTCAGACCCGACCACCCGACTGGCCACCATAAACCAGGGGGGAGGGGGGAGGTTAGACAAGGGTCACGAAAATATGCCCAAAGCAAAAGTTGAGCAATTTACCGGTGGAAACCCAATTGAAACCATAAAGCCACTTTTGGAAGTTCCAAGGGTAATGCAGGAAACCCTGATAGACCTTAACAAGGCCTTAAGTGCCTCATACGGAGGAGGGGCGGGAGTTGGATTCTCTCCCGCGGCAAAGGCAAAGCGGCGCAATATGTTGGCCCCTTTTGCCCTCGGGTCCATTTGACTGCGCAAAAGATCTTCCTTTGTTCGGCGAGTTTGTGGAGAAACAATCATTCTCCCAAATCGTTGCAACATCAAATGTCAAACCAAAGAGCAGCCCCTTTTTCGTCTTCCCTGGCTTCCCATTGTCTGTCAAAGCAGTGTTAACCGGTCACGACATCGTTTCACTCCAAATGCCAACAAAGAAAAGCGGGCCTGTGTCCACCACTTTTGAGGTGGTTCCCTATGAAGCTTCATTGCCATGTTGACCCTGGTTACTGGGATGCTGTAAACTCCCCAGTTGTCAATCAGCAAGAGTGCCCCTAGACTAAAAAGGGACCACCCCTTAACAGGAAAACTTGTCGGCAATACCCTCTTAGACACTCGCCATCTGCATGCAGGGACCAATAAAAACCTGAAGGGGGCTACTATTCTTTCAGGCAACCCCGAGCACCCTTCATAACCTGCAGCGCCAGAAGGAATCACGCAGGGCAAATGTACCCGAGACGTCTGCTGAGTTTGTGCGTCCCCCATTCATGGGCTATCCTTTTCCCTTTCAACCTGACCAAACTGTGCTGATCTTTGATCCAAAGCGCCGCCTCTCGTTTTGCGAGGGAAACTCACAGACAGCTCAATAGTGCAAACCCCTAATACTTGGGAGGGGGGGGGGTAGCAGGATAGAGCTTCAGTCGTGCTTTGGTCGTTCCCTGAGGCACCACGGATATTCCCTAGTGTTTGACAAAGTATTGAAAGATACCGATCCCTAGATGGAATGGCGGAGTGAGTTGGGTGCGAATTTTGACCTTAAAAGTTGGCGGACATCAATATAAAGTTGGTGGTTTTCATCACCAAATTGGGCGAGAAAGCCGAGCGAAGTGTCCTTGGCCACCGATGGAAGAACTCCTCCTCGCCTGTTCGAGTACCGGCTTCTCAAAATGGGATTTGGACTTCCTGTTTGGTAGCTAAACTGAAACGGATGTTGATCAATATTCCAGGGCCCCCAAATGACCATGGGTAACTTCTCCCCATTTGGGTATGGGTCAAAATTAAGCCACCAGGGGACCGCTGGTGTTAGTCCCTGTTTCCATTCACTAGGGTTCCATTTGAGGTACCAATTTTTGACCCACACCCATTTAGTGGTTGAAACATCAAATCTTTTGAGCGGTTTTCCCCCATTTAAGAAATGCCGAGGGCCCAAAGTGATGGTATGGTCAAGGGAGAGTGCTTTGGGATCCTATGAGAGAGCCGAGTCGCGGGAATCCTGGCGATGTGGCCACATGTGTTTTTTCTTCTTCTTTTTGCGCGGGTGCGCCCAAAACCCGACCTCGACTCTTGCCGGAACATGAACCATGAAGCTGCTGCATCCAGCCTCTCCAAAGAGCCCACTCTGCCAAGCCAAACTGCTCTAGGGGGTCACCGAAGGGGCTCAAGCCAACGGAAGGTCCTGTGATAGCCCATGCTTAGCTCCACTGCCCAGGAGCGCCACGAGTCGCTCCGACGGAACTTTCGAGCTTCGTCTGAACTAAAGCCTTTGGGCTCAGCTTGAATCCAGAGCTGGTCCCGGGCATGCCAAGGGTGTCTCTGATGAGTGGATTCCATTCTCTTGGCTCAGCAGGGACTGCTCCCCTGCTAAAAGTTTAACTTTTAGTGGCTTAATTCGGAAAGCCCATGAGTTGGCAAAAAGTTAAAGTCAACTAACAGCCCTTGGCAAAATGCGACAAAGGAATGAGGGAATGACCCGGTGGTTTCCTTTGAGCTGCCAACGCGAGCCCAACCCATCGCACCAGCAAGTGTTCAGTTTTTCCACAACTCAGACCCAGCGAGCTTCGTTTCATTTTTAGTCGGTTTCTTCACAGGTCCGGCCAGCCCACTCCAAAGGTTCCTCACTTCCGATCGAGATGGGACCCAAAAAAGGCAGACGAAAAAACTGGTTGACCACCAAACTGGTCCAAATCAAAGTGACGAAAGTCCACGAACTTAGGAAGTGAGTCTTGTCACATACATCTGAGTGGCCCCTTTTCTGAGGGTAACCATGTTCTGCTTGGTGTTCGGAGGCGGGGAATCCCCAAAACGAGCAGCTGAGCCCCCCGAAAAAGCCCTACAGTAACCCAAAGCAAAGCCTTTTCTGCCCCCCTTTTGTGCTCTTTGATTCACTCTCCGTGTGTTAACATGGAATTGGGAGGGGTGTCCATTCTCCAGGTGTCAACATTGGAATTGGGAGGGGTTGCCATTTGGGTGTGTCGTTTGTTTTTTCTTTTTCTGGGGAGCCCAAAAATGGTTTTTGAAACCACCAAAAGGGGCCTCAACAAAAGACCTCCACCCAGAGCCTCAACCCATCAGATGTTTTTCCCTTGGACTGGGAAGAGCGATCGATCCGCCCGGATTCGGTTCACCCCCAACGCTGGCCAGATGTGGCACTCGAAGTTTTTTTTTGCAAGCCTCCTTTGTCCCCGGCTTCTCCCTGACTTATCATGGAACCCATGATTTGGGGCTGGGCCGAAAATGCAGAAAAAGAGAGCAAGTTGTTAGACCTCCGCGCACCAGCAACGAAGGAAGCTGCAGGCCGGGAGCGAGAACCCCGAACCCCAACCCAACCCCCCCACACAACCCCCGCCCCAAAACTCCGCGAAAAAAGACAGAAATCCCATCCCATCGCCCATCCTCGGGGCAGCAACGGCAGGTTCCGCCACAAGAGTTGGACCAGCGCCGGGTCCTGAAACGACGTCGCGAGCGAGGCTTGCGGAGACCAGTCGTTTTTGTGGTACGTAAAGGTAAAACCAGAGGGACAACTGCTTGCCTTTTTGGGGTACACCGGAAGAAGAAAAAAACAAAACATCTAAACACGCAAATGTACGGTCGCAAGTCATCTGGCAAAGTGGTCAAGTGAAAAGCATCAAGAGGACGGAGTTGTTGCACCTATTGTCTGGCGATTGTCCCTTGCTAACCTTCTACCCGCCCCCGAAAAACTTCCGGCGTGGACAGGAGAGCCTCTTTGGATGACAACCACTTCCATGGTTGGGAGGATCTGTGTATACCATAAGGCCAAAAAGGGGTTCCATTGAATTGAGCTACCCTGAGTCCAATAGAAGCCATAATCACAGGTTAGTCAACCCCGCTCAAACTCAGGAGTCAGTGGACCCTAAATGGGTTGCAATAAACGGGCTCCGCTCACTTGTGAAGGACACCGATGCGTGTAGCATCCATTCGGCCATTTGCTCGAACCCAAACAGCGGGTCACCCAAGAAAGAACCAACCGAATTGCAAAGGTTTAAAACAGCCAAACAAATGGGTCTGCCTGGTTTTGGTTGGTACACCCTTTTGGGGGCTGGTTAAGAAAGACACGCCTTTACTCGGTTGCTTTCTGCTCCCCTGCTCAAAGTTTAACTTTTAGTGGTTTCATGGAAAAGCCATTAGTTGGCAAAAAGCCTAACATCCAAGCAGTTTAGATGATGGTTTTAACATCACCTTTCGCAATTTTAAGGACTCGAGTTTAAGCCGGCGTTCCAAATGATCAAACGCCCAAAACCGATTCCTTCCTGGGCCATGTTGGCAGGTGCTGACCGAGAGTAGGGTACGTCTCAAACAGGGGAACCCCCTTGTTGGGGTTGCTTTTAAGGGAAGCCGCTTCTTGTGGGGGGGGGATCCCTCAAAACAGTATAAGCCCACGGACCTCTGCGGTAAGCGGAAAAAATGGTGTGGTGTTCCTTTGGTTTCCCTTTAACACCACCCCCAAAAAGAGTATAAAAAGGGTATCCTCGCAGAAAAAAAAGCGCCCAACCCCCGAGCGGGTGCGCTCCTCAGCGAGCAGCTCGCTCTGCAGAAGCGCGAAGCGCTCGCGCCCGGACAGGCGCTCGCACCTCCGACTGGACAACCAACCACTAAACACTACGAAGCTCAAAAGCTAAGGGGATGGCTGGGAGCCACCAAGGAATGAGAAATGGAACGACCCCGAGATAAACCAAAAAGAAACGACTGGTGGCTTCCTTTCAGGGAATCACCAGGTTCATTCCCACATTCCCTGCTGAGCACCAGCAAGCAAAACAAAGCTACCGTTGGTAAAGACCTGATTGTTTTTGAATAAAACATATTAGAAAGGAATACACACACACACAAACACACGTAATTTTGGTTGACTGGTTTCAAGCCAAACGCCCAAAGGTATGTACATAAGAAATCACACAACTGCAACTGAAGCATCTGCAGAAGCACCTGCCCGTTGCATCTGCATTTTGGTGGCACCCTTTTGCATCACTAGCCCCCACCCTCACCCAGAACCAGCACCTGCACCCCAAACAGGTCTGTCTTTGTGTCTTTGTGCCAAGATGGCAAGGTTTAAATACGCTTGCCTTACAATTACAATCTTTGTTGGACCAGGTAGAACCACCTACCAAAACCACCTACCAAAATTGCCGAAAATACATCTCTCTTTGGCTGTTGGAAGCCACTCGCAAACCAACAGCAAACCAAACCAACAAGACCCCAAAAACTAACAACCAAGAACAAACACAGGCAAAAAAAGCAGCTCAACCATATCTTGAGGCCGCCCCCAACCCGACCTGGGCCTTTTGGCGTCGGTTTTCGCGCGCTCTTTTGTGACCGCCAACCCCCCCCCCCCCCCACTCAGGGCCCCCGGGCTCTTCCGCGAAGGTGCCCAACGTGGCCTCCAGCAGCGCGCGGCGAGACGTGCTGCCGCAGACCTCCAGGAAGCACACCGCCTGAGGCTCGAAAGGCGGTTGCCACGTGCCGCCATATGATGTACATACCTACATGTGGATATGTATGTATATGTGATCTATAGATGCCTCCGATGTGCGTATGTATCTACATGTATATATATAATAAAACATATGTGTGTATATTATGTGTATATATACATACATGCACATGTCAGGTCTGTAATTCATGATATACACACCACACACACACACGTGCGCGTGTGCGTGTGTAAAACTGTGAATGGTGTATGTGCCACGCCTCAGGGCCTAGAGCTGTTAAGCCCCGAGACACGCGCGGACCAAGACCTGAACAAAAGGGTGGCGGTTCAACTGAGTGTGTGTCACTGGACTGTGCCGAAGCTGTTTCTTTTTCTGATTAAAGAAAGGGTGGCCCAATTCTGCTTGGGGTTTGCCCCTCACTTTCCTGCATGTATCCTCTATGGAAGTAGACATGGAGGCTTCCCAAAAAGAAAGTCTTTCAAAGCCCTCTCGGCAGCTTATGAAGGGAGGGTCCAGGGGTGCCAAGGTACATAGCCCTTTTACATACCCCTTGGAAAAATGAACCATATCCTGAGAGGCCTGATGTTCATACCATATCCTCTCCCCAAAAGGAGTATATACCCCTTATAAAAGTGGGTTGGAAACCAAGGAGGCCAAGGGGTAGGAACAAGGGGTATGGTGTCCGGGATTTTACTATGCCGCAGAGTGCCCGCAAGGCACTCCGACAGAATGCCCCGCCTGCTGCCCGTGCTTGCGCAAGACCTCGTCTCCTGAGGATTGTTAGCCACTCAGCGAAATGCCTGGGTACTGTAAGAGAAACCAAAGGAGACCGCTTCCAAAGTTCCACCCATGGGTTTTGACCAATGATCACTTGGAGGCAACCCTGCTTCCAAGCAAGAGGCAAGCGTCGGTCAAAATGAATCTTGTCCAAACAAAAAATGGTCGAACTGAAGGAATGTTTCTCAGCCCCTCCTGCCAAAATTGAGCTGAGCAGAACCGAAGAAAACACTAGAAACACCTGCCAAGAGCAGTGAAGAATCCCAAGAAAAAACCGAGGGACTGAAAAAAGGGCGGTGAGCTGTGAGCAACACCTCAAAACCCATTCAGTAAGTGATTCTACTCACATGTGAGGGTCCCATTGTGCTGCCAGGTGGTGGCACCACCTATCTTCAACGGCCAACAGTGGTGCATGGTGGAGTTCCGGAAGGAGTGAGCTGCCCAGGTGGCCCTCTGACGTGGGGGGGTTCCGACCCGTTGTCCGGTTAGGGGGGAAATCCTAACCAACCTCCAGTAGTCTGAGCTGTCCTCAGATCCACCGCTAAAAGTGACTAACCTTTAGTGGGCTAAATGGAAACCCCACTAAAAAGCTAAAAAGCTCAAAACCTAAGGGGATGGCTGGGAGCCACCAAGTATTGCAAATGGGTTCTTCGCCTGCAATAGCACCCTAAAAGACAACGCCCTTCCGCAACTGCACTCGGATCACCAGCACAACCGCACCCTGCCAGACCCACGCTGACTTTAGTTTGAAGCTGGAGCCCCCAACTCTTTCAGCTCTCCTGGGGACACGTTTTCGGGTCCGGTGCGTACCTTCAGTGAACCAACAAAGCAATGTTCAAAAGAGGAATCTGGGTTGAGCTGGTGGAAATATGGCGGCCCTCGGGCAACCAGAGCTGGCAAACATGGGAATATGCGTGCCTGGACCGCAACCCCATGCATTGAAAGATGCAGGATTTCTTTAACCAACTGGGTCTGCGCTTTTTGTTCCCTTTTTTATAATGGATTTGTTGGGTTGGTGTCAAGGGATTTTCGAAGGAACCACAAGGAAAACCACTATTCTTCGGAGGTCATCCCCATTTCTGAGACAAGCCCCGACTCTTCAATCCTCGGCCCTTACCCCGATCCACTCGGTTTGCTCAGGCGTTGGCGCCACCAGGCCAGAAAATCGATGGGCACCTGACTGGGTGAAACGCGCAAGAAGCGCCAGAGAAGTGTCCCCCCAACGCAACTGAGCTGTCCAAACCGATCCCCCGCTAAAAGTGACTAACTTTTGGTGGGCTAAATGGAAAACCCCGCTAAACACCAAAAAGCTAAAAAGCTAAGGGGATGGCTGGGTGCATAGGTGTCCTTTTGCAAGGATCGATGGCCCTGGTAAATGCAACGAAACCAATCTAGACCAGCGCCGTCTATTTCTAATCAAACTAACCTACAAAGGACACCTATGGCCCAATGTCTACCAAATGGGTTGCTACATATGACATCCGACAGGGTGAGTCGGATGGGATTTTCAACCCGAACCTTGTCAAAGGGGCCTTTTGGGCCATTTGACAGCCCCGGGCTTGGGCATGTCTTTTGGCAATGTCCCGGCAGATGCGTTTGGGGCATGTCTGGTGACATGTGTGTGTGTGTGGTTGGCGTTGTCGGTGTGTGCCTTGGTGTCCGTGCTTTTGCCGAAGATGTCTTTGGGGGGGGTCCGAGAAAAATGTCGATTGGCGGTGCCTTTGCAATTATTTTGAGAACGTCTTAGGGGAATTTATTCAGGATTCAGTTTGCGTAGGGAGGTCTTTGGCGGTGTCTTTGGGGGCACGCACTTGGACACGTGCACCGGCTACAAGGTTGCAAATGTCCAGCTCTAAAGTCGCAACTTTTCAAAGCAAACATAATGCACGAAGTGCATTCCGCAGCCCAAGCTTGAAGCGGCCACAGCATTTTAGCTGACTTTTCGGCACCATAGCACACACAGTGCGCTTTCGCAGCTGCGGCTCGGAAGTTGCAGCTGTTCAGCGCAAAGTAGCGCGCAAGGGCGGGTTTAGTGCTGCTTTAGGCTTGGTGTGGGACCCTTAGGGCGGGTTTAGGGTGCACGGAACTGTGGCTGTTGTGTCGTGGTTTGGGGTGGGTTTAGGATCGAAAAGCCGCCGAAAACCCGCAACAAGCCTCAGAAAGGCGAGTTGAGGGTGGGCGTTGGATTTCGAGGATCCAAAGCCACAAAAGCCGCCCAAAGCACAAAACTTGCAAGAAAGCAAAAAACAACAAAGGCCACACAACACGATAAACAAGAAGAACAAACAGAACAAATGGCCCTGCAAAGTTGATCTAGGGTGAGGCGTGGCGTGCGACTCACCAACCCAGCCGACCGATCGACCGACCAACCGGGGACCCTGCCACGACACACACGTCTCTGGGAAAACACAGCTTGATCAAATCATTGACGACCGTATTCTTGCACCAACTGAGCATGTGCTCCAGAAATTCGCAGGGTGCTTGCAGGGGAGCTGGGTATACTACTATACCAGCTCAGCTTTTGCCCCCAACCTGAAGAAATGGTTGACTCCGGGTTTGTTTAGTGAGCCTTGAACTGCGAAAGCATGTCAAAGGAGCTCCAAGTTTACAAAGGGTGCCAAAGCGTTCTAAACATACTTTACCCCAATCCTGACTCAGCGCCTGCCTTTTAATTCCCTTGCCGGGTCGCGCCCTTCTTTTTGCCACCCTGTTGAAATTGAAGTAGGTCCGACTATTTGGGCCCAAAATCACCAGAAACCAAGGGATCCCTTGAGGTTTCGGAATTCTACAATGTTTACAGGCTGGCTTCCCCTTACTTACGCAAGAGCCCGAAAAAAGGGCTAGCCTACAAGGAGGTTCAAGAGAATGTGTCCGCCCGCCCGTTTTCTTCCCGGCTCTGAAACTGACGACCTCAACTCAGCCATGCCACCCCCAACTGGCGTCTCTAACCCATCACTTCCACCTCTGCAAGCCCGAAAGAATCCCAAGTTCCAGTGGACCCCGACTCTAGTCCCAAGTTCCAGGCCTCTGAAACTTGGACCCAGGCTGAAATTGAAGCACGCGGGTCCGACTCGTTCGGTCCAAACCTCCAGCCTGAACTTGAAACACGGGGAGGCCTCTCGGAACAAAAAAATTCCACCTCGGGGGGGGGGCATTTTGAGACGCAAAGGAACCGCGCCTCGGGCAGGAAGAAGGGCCGACCTTCCGCCTCGAGGCAAGAAGAGTCGCACGATGGCGTTTTTGGAGCTCACAACCCGGCTTGTGGGTGTTAAAGGGCAACCAACAGGAAAACCAACCTAAGTCTTTTTTGGGGGGGAACCCCCTGAAAACAGACACACCTAGAAATGTCAACTTCACCGGACGCGTGTGGTCCCGAAATCCACCGGCCCCACACTGCTTGCAAAACCTTTGGGTCAACGGCTCGGCTTGCTGTGCTGCTTCTGTTGCGGATCCGTTTTCTCGTGCCGAGCCGGTAAGGCCACCCGCCCACACTTGGCCTTCCCACTTGGCCCGCGTAGTCTGGTGGCGAACACCGGGCAGGGTGCCACCGTACCATGTGTTCGTTGCTTCGGAAATGCCCAGGCTTCTTCGGCTGATGTTCGTGGATTGCGGGTTGTTCTTTGGATCTTTGGAAGCAGGGCGACCTCCTAAAAGAAAACCATAGACACGGGTTTCAAAAACGACTCTCGTCTTGATTCCCAGGTTGCGGTGTTTTATGCATGCGGGTGAATCGCAATACCGAAGAAATGGAATGCCCAAGAAAAGCACCTTGTGTGGGTGAGTTTGGTTGCAAACCAAAGTCAATCGCGGTATGATTTCCATGGGGAAAACGGGTTAAAGAGCTCCTTTTGATCTCCCTTCCAACCAACAAAAGTATCAGCTTCCCTATAATTGTGGAGTTTCCCCTTTCCCTGCACACTGTACAAGAACCAGGGGGTTGATCCAAACCAATCCAAACCACCCGCCAAGGATGATAAACAACACAGATGGAGAGAGAGGGAGAGAGAGACGTTAAAATTGGTTGTTACTTTGCTTACAAGTGCAAGTGCTGTAGTGTTCAATCAAACAGTCAACCAATGTAGTCTGCAGCTGCCAACCTTTTGACTCATGCGGAGTAGTAAGCTCAAGGCCTGCGGTAGTGAACATACATGCAACAAGAGTGCAAAGTGATTCATGTAGTTTGACACGGCCCCTCAGTTAAAAGGTCTTTGTAGTACCTTTTCAACTGAAGTGCAAAACATGGATTGACAGTAGTGATGAAAACCATTGTTGTTCATCAATTCTACTGTATTGGCAAAAGTAGTGACCTGCGCTCAGTATTCACGCTGTTCAGGTTCCAGCTCGATGTAGGGCGCTGGACGGAAGTAGTGAAGGCAGGCACTCGTTGCAGTAGAGCAGGAGCTCAAAAATGTAGTCCCCATTTCTGGGTGCGGTAGGCTTGGACCATCTGTAGTCGACTGTCCAAGGTCGCGTAGTAGTTGGTGGTGAAAAAGGTTGTCATGTAGTTTGGAGCTCCCCGTAGTCGCTCATCATCAATCTCGGGACACGACATGTGTTGGTCGTAGTCCCGTAGAAAGCGGTGTAGTAGTGCTTTGTGGTGTTGTGTGAGGTTGGTCATTGTGAGTAGTGTGAATCCGTAGTATTGGATGCTTTTGCAGAGGATTGTAGTGATTGCTTTGTGCTGGAAGTCGTGTAGTTGGTCTCGGTTGTAAAGGAAATGGAGTAGTTCAGGTAGAAGTAGTGGCATGTGGTAATTCCATACGTAGTTGTTCCTGAGGCTGTAGTTGTCAGTGAAGGTGGTCATGTTGTAGATCACCTTGAAGATGGTCTGTGGCAGTGTTGTAGTCGGGAGGTAGTAGTTGTGTTGTACCGACATCATGTAGGAGATGTAGTCCCTTGTGAAGTGTAGAAATTGTCCTGAAGTGGGGTACCTCAGGAGTAGTGGTTGTTCAATCTGGAGTTGGATGATGACGTAGTTGGTGTTGTCGCCAGTTGTAGTGTGGAGTGAAGTCGTGTGGTAGTAGTGGACATTGGCTGCTTCAGGTAGTGAAATGCTGAGCAGTGTGGAATTGTAGTGTGGCATCCGAAGATCTCCAGGGATGCAGTGAATGGGTCGTGTGTAGTCCAGTTGTGCCAGTGGAGTAGCCTGTTGTTGTGAGAGTAGTTGATACTCTTCAAGTGTAAATGCAGTGAAAAATGTAGGGAATGTTGTCGGGCAGTGGTGGTGCTCAGTGATGTGTAGTTGGTCCATCACTGTGGTCGGGTTGTAGTAGACGGTGTTGCCGGGTGTAGAATGGTTGAAGTGGTAGTTGGAGTCGTTGTAGGTTTGAGGTGGTGGAGTTCCATGGTCACTGGAGTCTGTAGTGACCGCCACCTCAGGTGTAGTCGCCCTGTCGGGCGTAGTGGCGTCTCCCATCGTAGCATCTGCAGTAGATGGAGCGGCCATGGCTGCAGTGGAATGCAAAATGTAGTGAAACGGGGCAAAACAAATGAGCCTAAGTAGTTGCTACCAGGCAGTCGGCGAATACAGACATGTAAAACAAACAACTGTAGTGTTGACTCAAGCCGCCAAAAGTGCAAGTGAAAGTACATGTAGTTGCTGTTACTTACATACCAAAAGTGTCGTGTTACATGTAGCTACTTACATACATGAAATGTCCAAAGTCGTTGTTGTTGTGGTGAAACTGCTGCGCTGGTCGTTCGTAGTGCTAGATGCGTATTCCTATGCTCTGGATGAGCCTGTGTAGTGTTTCTTTGCTGATGTATTTGGTAAACAAATCTGCGCTGTTGTGGAGTGTGTTGATCTTAAGGATTCTGATGATGTCGTGCTTGATGAGGTCTTGTGTGTAGAGGAATTTGAGGTCGATGTGTTTTGCTCGTTTGCTAGTGCCTTGTCGTGTAGCAATGCTCTTGCCTGCTGTGGAGTCTGTGTGGATGCGTAGGTTTAGCTTGCTGCAAATGTTGGTTTCAAGTAGGAAGTTTCTGAGGTGTAGTCCCTCATTAACTCCTGTGCAAATGGCGTAGAGTTCAGACTCTGCTGAGCTAAGTGCTATTGTAGCTTGTGTTCTGCTGCCAAATGCAACTGTTGTTCCTAGAAAGATGATGTTGAAACCTGAAGTTGATTTCCTGGTAGTAGGGCATCCTGCCCAGTCGGCATCGACATGAACGTCGAGATCCAGGATGTTGTTGGTGTTTGCTCTGAGTGTTGTTGTTGGTTCTATGGTGAATTTGTAGTGCTTGGTGCCGTGCAAGTAGCGTAGTAGATGTTTGACTCTCTTTTGTGAAAGTTCTGTAGGTGCTGTGAGGTCTCGTGCTAGTTCTTTTGTGGAGTATGCAATGTCTGGTCGTGTGTATGCTAACCATTGAAGTTTGCCAACAATTCTTCTGTACCTTTTGTGTTGTTCGTGGTCAAGTAGTGCTTCATCTTCTATTGTTGGTTTGTAGTGTGCAATTCCTGGAGTGTTTACTGAGTTGCAGTTGTTCATTCCAGACTCCTCGATCATGTTGTCGATGTAGGAGTCCTTTAGTCCAAGATTGCAGTAGTTGCCGAAGTGGTCGATGTTTCTTCCAAGAAATTGTTGTGGTTTGCCAGGTTCGAGGTAGCCGATGTGCTTGAGTAGTACCTGCTTCTGGACGGCCTCGAAAGTGGAGTCGACTGCGGTCTTGTCTCCAAGTACTAGTAGATCGTCCACGTAGACCATGATGTAGCAGTCGCGAGTCGCATTGGTGTAGACGTTGGGTTCTGACTTTAGTCTTACAAAGCTGAGCTTTTGTAGAACTTCAGCCAGGTAGTCCTGCCATGCTTTCGGTGAACTGCGTAGTCCATACATGGCTTTCTTTAGTCGCCAGATTTTGTCCTGTTGTGGACAAAGTTCTTTAGGTGGCCAAAGGTAGACGTCACGTTGTTTACCGTCGTGGTCTTTTGCGATGGGTGCGTGTAGAAATGCTGTAGAGACGTCACCTAGTCGCGCGATCCAGTTTGGTCGTGACATTTGTAGTGCGAGAAGTGTCCGGAGTGTCGTGAACATTGGTGTAGAGGCGTAGACGGAGTCTTCGTCCTCGATCTTCTCGGTGTAGCCTTTTGCGACGATTCGGCTTCGTACTCCTGGTCTTTTCTTTCTATGTACCCATCTTGTAGGTATCGCTTCTCTGATGACGTTGTCGTTGACGGTAGACGCATCTACTTTGTCGTAGACGTCGTGTAGTTTCATTTGGTTTGACTCGTGTTTCATTCCTTCCAGTAGTTGTGTTTCGTCGTAACCTTCGTTGTCGAAGATTATGGGTTGGTCTTCTGAGGTGTCGTCGTTTGTGTAGGGAGTGATGGGTTTTCCGTTGGGAAGTGTCACTGCGTTGATTTTTCTGTCGTAGTGGTGGTGGTTCTTTGGTTGCTTGCTCCGTTGATCTGATTGTAGTGTCCTTTGAGGTCTTCTGTGCTTTCGTTGGTTGCATTACTTCTTCCGGAGTTAAACGTCTTAGTGTTTGTCGAGGTGGTGCTGGTAGTGGTGGATGTTGTCGTCCAGTTGGTGAAGTAGCCATAGGACTATCCGGTAGTGGTCGTGAACTTGACGTCGATGTGGACGGAAGTCGTGGAGGTGGTGTAGTGCGTTGTTGTTTTGTTGCGGGTTCCGCAACGATGTCGTCCGTAGCGTTCGTTTGTTGTCCGAAATCTTGCGTGGACCTTCTTTTCTCTGACGGTTGTAGTTGCGTATCCAACAGTGTTGCGAACGATGGGTTGTAGGTGTTCCGTCGTGGTGCCCATGGTGTGCCGGAGACTTTGTTCAACAGTGCGAGGTCGTATTTGAAGTCCGGTTGTAGTCTCCGTACTGTTCGTACCTTTTGTACGCCTGATTCCGTTGCGACGTAGTTTTCTCCGGTTTCGGAAACTTTTCCGAGCCAGATGCATTTCTGCATCCGTAGGTCTGCTTTCGGAAGTTTCTTGTGTTGTGGTGGAAGGTAGAGTAGTGTCTCGCCAAATTCGCAGATTGCTCGCTCGTAGTTTCTTCCCCAGCGGCGTTCAAAGCTTGTGTAGCCGTCTGAGTGAATGACGTAGCGATTTACCGTCCATGCTGCATGTCGTACTATCCAAGGTAGTAGACAGTGCTTTGTGGACATCGTCATGCTGTAGTTGCTTTCAACCTGAGCTTTGACGACGCGGATTTGTCCGAGAAGTGTTCTATGTAGTCGCTCAACGCTTCCTTGACTGTTGCTGCTGTAGGAAGGTGAATGTCGTACACTCATTGTGTCGACTTTTGCTTCTGTAGCTTTTAGAAGTGCGTTGAGTGTGTCTTCGTTGTCGCTTTGTAGTATGCCTTGTGTTCTTCTGCACTCAAAGATGAATGCTTGTAGGTTGTTGACCATGTAGTCCTTCATTGATGATTTGTCTGGAACCAATACTGCCATACACAGTTGTGTAGTAACATCAACTGCTGTCAGTACCGGTGTGGTCTTTGGGTCTTGTTGTGACTTGATGTAGGCAAAGTCTACTTGAATGACAGGTTGTCGTGATTGTTGTTTCTTGTAGTTGTCTTGGCGTCCTTTGCCTTGAACGCAAATTGGACACCAGTTTCTGTATGGTAGATGTGTAAGGTTGTGTTCTGCTATTTGTTGTGGAGTGGGCTGCTGTGGTTGTCGTAGTCCTCTTGCTCTGTGTGCTTCATGATGCTCGTGTTGTTGTTCTTCATCGTGGTTCTCCTGGATGTACTCGTAGTCTTTCTTCACGGTAAACCTTGTTGTTCCTTTCCATTGAAATGGTAGTGCTGCGTTGCCCATGACTGTCCAGTCATCTTTGCGTTGTGAAACTTCTCCAAAGTTGTTGTGAGTGATTGTAGTTCTGTGAGGCTCAAGTGTGTTGATTGGTGGATGTCCTGGTCCATCTGTTGGAGTGAAGAGAGTTGTTCTAAGCGTTGTGTGGTGTCGTATCCAGTGTTCACCTTGTCTTTCCCAGTAGTCTTGGTTGTCCTCCTGTGCTGTGAGTGGTCTGTGTATTGTCTCCTTTGGTTGTGTGGTGTCAAGATTTGTAGAAGGTGCTGCTTTGGGTCTCCATATCTTTTGTGGTGCTCGTAGTTGGATCTTTGATCTGGTTGGTGGTGTGTCCATTAGCCGTTGTGGTTGTGAGCTCTGCCTTGTTGGTGTGGTCTTTGATGTTGCTCTGCGTGTAGGTGTTATCTTTCTTCTGAATCTGGTTTCTCCAGTCCAGTTGTCACCTTCTAGTCTTCGTTGTAGTTCTTGCTTGGAAAGTTGTGTTGGGTTCTCTTGTAGTTGTTCTTGCTCTTGCCCTTGTCTGTTGATGATGGTTAGTCTCCAATCATCTAGTTCTCCTTCTGGTATTGGGCAGCCACTGTTGTGTGGTGTGAACAGTGCTTTGCGTGGTCGTTTGTGTACTCTGATGGCGTAGTCACCATCAAGTTTCCAGTAGTCAGTGTTTCCACCAAGGATCTGTCGTAGTCCTTGGTCTGTGTGTGTGAGTGGTGCGATTTGTTCTTGTTGTTGTGCTGCTCTCTCTGTAGGTTGAATCACAGCAATGGATTTTCCATTGTCTGTAGTCATTGGGTAGATGTCGAATCCTGTAGGAATGTCGATCTTCTCTGCTCGTAGGTAGAAAAGTCCTGAGTGTCTTATGAGGTGTGCTTGTTGTTGTCCATGTGTGATGGTGCAGTGTCGTGGAGTGAAGTCAAGTCCATATCCTCTATCAAGTAGTCTTGATGCGCTGAGGATTGGATACTTCACATCACAAACGTAGTAGGGTATCATGATCCTGAAGTTGTCCTGCTTGTAGGGAACGTACTTGATGCCGTAGACTGGAATCTTCTTGTTGGTCACCGTGTAGAGTTGTGGAACTGATTCTCCACAGGGTCGTAGTGGAAGATCCGGTGCGTAGTCCTTTGGGCAAACATGTGTAGATGCTCCTGAGTCGATCAACAGGTGGTGGTATGACTTGAAGTTGGAGTACATGATGTAGTGGGTGATAGTGTCCTCAATCTTCTTGTTCCTTTGTTGTTGTCTTGCTGCTGCTATGTCAAAGTGTGGCTGTGTGTTGTCTTCTTGTAGGAATTGTTGAAAGCTCTTGCTGTGGTCGTTCCATGATGTTGTGTGTGTTGTTCTCTTGCCAAGTAGTGATTTGGATTTGTGCTTGTGTAGTCGTGAGTTTGCTTGTCTGATGTGTCCAATGGTGAGGTGTGACTCGTTGATGCCTCCAATGTAGTTCGCTGTGTCCTCATAGCTGTTGTCATTCCAATCCCAGCTGTTGTCATAGTCGTAGTCGTTCCAGTTCTCCTCCATGTAGTTCACCTCATGTTGTCCTTCTTCTCCTTCGTAGTACCAGTCCCAAGTGTCGTTCACATCCTGAGGTAGTTCATCATTGTTGTCGTGATCTGCTTGTTCTTGTTCTAGTGGATGTAGTTCTTCTCCTTCTCCTATGTGCCATACCGGCACTCTGCAGTCTTGTGCCCAGTGGCCGGGCTTGCCACATCGATGGCATGTTGTGTAGTTGTTGCTTCCTTTTCCTTTTGATTTGCTGTAGTTTCCTTGGCCTTTGTAGCCTTTGCTTGATCCATATCCTTTGGATCCTGAGTAGCCTTTTCCTTTGCTCTTGTTGTATCCTCCTTTGTTGTAGTTTCCTTTGCTGCCTTTGTCGAATCCTTTGTAGTGTCCTTTACTCCTGTACTTGCCTTTGCTCTTGCTTCCTTTGTAGCCGCCTTTTCCTTTTCCTTTGCCTTTGTAGCTTCTTCCTTTCCTCCATATGTTGTCAACATCCATTGGTGCAGTTCCTCCATTGTAGTTTGTTCCTACTGCTGAAGTAGATCTAGTGAAGGCTGAAATCGTTTTGTAGTAGTCCAGGATGAGTGCTCTGATCTCGATGTAGTTCGTGATCTGTCCAGCTCGCAGTTGGAGGTGTTGCTGCAGTGCTCCTTTGGTTTTGTTGAGTAGTATTGCTATTTTGATTCCATCTGGTAGTGCTGTTCCATTGTCTTTCTCGTAGCGGTTGATGTCGTATTCCCATTGTAGAAATTGTTCTTCAAACTGCGCTTCGTTGAATGTGGGTTCCAGTAGTTTGGTAAGGTAACCAACGCTCCTTGTTCCTACTGGTAGGCTGAACCTGTTGTGTAGTAGTCGTAGTGTTTCACATCCGTTTGCGTTGTAGCGGTTTTGCCTTACTACTGTAGCTGCTGCTCCCTGACAGATGTTGATGAGGATGTAGTGTAGATCTCTGGAGAGGTCTACTGCTTTGCTTGCTTGTGTAGGGTCGAGTATGTGTGTTCTGATGTCTGTGTCCTCAATCTGTCGTGTAGCCACTTGTGCTAGTTGTAGCACCAGGTCGAAGTCTCGGTCTATGAGGCCGAGGTATGCTTGTAGCTTGAACAGCCATTCTTCATACTGGGAGTAGTCACCAGTGAAGAAGGGTGGTGGCAGTTTGTATCTATGTAGTCTCTGAACGTCGTTGTCTTGTTCTGTTCCTGCTCCCGTAGTCGTGGCTCCTACTGTGTCTGCTGTTGGCCCGTTCTCTGCTCCTGTAGTTTGTTGTGCTGAGGCTGATGCTGCTTCTCCTGACATGTCGTAGTAGTTTGGCATGTAGCTGCTGTTGCTGTGGTTGTAGTACTTACTGCTTACTGGAGCTCCCCTATGTTTAGGATCTCAGCTCCGCTACCACGTTAAAATCGGTTGTTACTTTGCTTACAAGTGCAAGTGCTGTAGTGTTCAAACAAACAGTCAACCAATGTAGTCTGCAGCTGCCAACCTTTTGACTCATGCGAAGTAGTAAGCTCAAGGCCTGCGGTAGTGAACGTACATGCAACAAGAGTGCAAAGTGAAGCATGTAGTTTGACAAGAGAGAGAGAGAGAGAGAGAGAGAGAGAGCGAGAGAGCGAGAGAGAGAGAGAGAGAGCAAGAGATATATATAGAGAGAGAGAGAGAGCGAGATAAAGAGAGAGAGAGAGAGAGAGAGAGCGAGAGAGAGAGAGAGAGAGCGAGAGAGCGAGAGAGAGAGAGAGAGCGAAGTACCGTTTCTAAATTTCCTACACAGATGCCTTTCATTCCCTTTAAACCAATCTTTGAAAGGATGCCTGGACCCTCAGCTACCCGTAAAAGCAGGACCTCACCCCATAATTTTGAGGGCAAAAAGCCACCCACCCCCCGGCCCCCTTTTCGTGTCGATCCTTTCAGATCGCGCCTCCGCCCGCGCGAAGCCTTTTGCATCTTTGGCGGCCTTTGATTCGATCGAGAAAGATTTGGGCCCCAATGGGAATCCCTAAGGTAGATTTTCCCTTGAGTTTCCCTTTCGACCAACCCTACAAAGCGCAACGAGCCCACTAATTCAGATTCCCTCTACTTGGCGGTTTGATTTGGTGGTTTGGAGGTTGGATGGTTTCCCATTTACCCTTTCTGAGAACCAAGCCACCAATCCAAACCGCTAACTCCGGGTTACCTGATTCCCCAAGGTAAAGCTTTGGAAAATCGGGTCTTTTCCAGGCACCCTTTGGGCGTAAAGAAGGAAACCTCCACAATCAAGACAACCTCGTCTATCCTCAACCGTGTCCGCGGGTTTCCTTTAGACGACATGTCTGTTTGAATGCTTAACCGAGGCAGATTTGGGTCTGTCTCTTATTTGGGGACCCCTGAAATTGTGTGCGTGTGTGTTTCCCTTGTATTTCTCTAGGGAAGCTTCCCCATTCTTTCCAGGGATCCTTCTTTTCAGGAAACCCTCAAAAATCCAGGGGACACACCCGCTTCTTGAAAAGGACAATGGTTGAAAAGAATGGGGAATCAACCAATAGAATTTCCCTGCAAAAACCCGCCAAAAAGAGGCTACCAACTCAAAGAACTCTCCACTACAGCTCCTGTGTTTCTGGACAAGTTCCCTACCTTCATGGCCATAGCGCTCTCGGATAGCGACAGAGGGAAAATCCTGGTTTTGACACGCGTGCCAGGGCTGCCTATTCCCATTAAAACATCGCCCCCAAGCAAAACTCGCGTTATTAATGCTTCCATTCGCCCCGGGCAAGCACACACATATTTCCAGTAGTGATAGATTCCCTGTTAAAGCCAATAGGGGAAATCAACAAAATCTTAGGCAAATGGAAGAATGGTGAAAAGGTGATGCTTCAGCCCTGATGGTGGTGCTTACAACCGCCAGCGGCTGCCCAAAACCTAAGACGCACCAAAACGCCGCTCCCGGGCTGCTCCGATGCGGCCAAATCGATGGACATTTTTTTAAGGGAAGCCAAGAGAATGAAGGCACAGTTACCCCTATACTCGCCCTTTTCCTCTTGGCTGAAGGCTTCGTTTTTATTTAGACGAAAATGGGGGCTGGCTCAAGCCAAGGGAAGCAAAAAAAAAGATCCGCACTGATCTGAGTTGTCCTCAGATCCCCCGCCAAAAGTTTAAGTTCTAGTGCGCTAAATGGACAACCAACCACTAAACACTAAGAAGCCAAAAAGCTAAGGAACCGGATGGCTGGGAGCCACCAAGTGATTTGGCCACCTGTTCGGAACGGCTCGGCTCGCAACCTTCGTGAGATTCGCAAGCGGCCGGCCAGAGCTGACCGGAGGAGACATCGACGACCCGAGATTTTTCCCCCGGGGAAAAACGGGCAAGTGGAGCAACTTTTCCCCGCTCAGGCATTGCTAAACATACATGTTCGGTGTCGCAATTGGATTGGTTGGTTTTAGTTCCGGAGGGGATGCAGAGAATGGCAATGGGGGATCAATAGGAAAATGGCCGGTTTGAGGGATGGAGCTGGAGCTGTCCTTCAAGAACACCCTTCCTAAAAGGGGTCCCTATCCTGAAGGAAAGCCAAATATCCTTCAACACAGCAGGAAAGGCTCAGGAAAGCTGCTGTCTCCTGTCCCCCAATTCTCCGCACAAAATGAGCATCCCCCTGACTCTGTAATTTGCAAGGGGATTCTCCTCGGCGCTGTGGAACTGGGCGGCCGACATATCAACAACTCGCTTCCTGAGTGGATTGGCCATTAAAAAAAAAGTCCGAAATTGTCCTTTGCCGCCAAAATGGTCTCCCAAAAAGTTTAAAGTCCATGAACTCAGGAAGTGAGACCATTGCCCGCAATCCCAAAAATAAGTTTTGGTGGGAAAATTATTCCAAGACATGAACCCTGAACCTTCACCACGCCCATCGGTCGACCGATTTCATCAGGGACGCGATCGAGCCCGTGTTCTCTTTTGGGAGGTTGGGCGAATGCTCAAACGAGCAAGCGCTGGGCTTGAAGTCCAGTGGTTTCATCAGTCCACCCAGAGAAACCCGATTCGAACTTGTCCACAAGGTGATGATTGAAGCACCCAAAAGGGGAAATGTGTTTTCTTAACGGTACCCGTTACCCAGCTTTTGGTGTTCAAAGGAAAACAAAAGAGGAGCTAGGAAGCTCCTCTTCCTTTTTCTTTCGGCTGGTTCTAAACTTGCTGGCGCGATCGATAAGTAGGGAAGGAGGGAATGAGCCAGCGAATTGGCCCCCTTAAAGGAAACAAGGAAACCCACCAGTTGGATGGTTTGTTTTCGGGGCCATTCCATTTCTCATTCCCTGCATCTCTCGCACCCGCAACGGACATGCCAAGGAAATACCCCCAGACGAGCCATCAGAACTCGGCGAGCGACGACTCGGTCGCCCGGCCAAGCGTGCCAGCCTCAAACGGGAGGTGGGCCATGCTTTCCGGCGATTTTCCAATTGGAATCCCTTCCTGTTCATTCATGTGGATGGTTGCGAAATCCGCGTCTCGCACCACCCGAGAAGCCCTGGCTTCTGGTTTCTGATCCCCTGTAAATACCAACAAACAGTGGTTTCATCCATGGTTTCTGGGGTGGTGCGAAATGGATTTCGTCCATCCACAGTAGGGGGAGTAATAACTCCAGGGATGCTTTGGGAAAGCTTTAGCTACTTCGACCAGTCCCTTTTTGGCCGGGCCTTTAAACTATCTGCGGTTTTCTTTTGGTTCTCGTTCAAAGAATCCCGAAAAGGGTGCCCTCAAAATGGCGGCCCCTGTTGGCTTCCTTTGAGAAGGGACCCTTAAACAAAAAATCCGCCTTGCTCATTTGCCCCTAGGACCAGGAAACACAAAGTGAGCCTTCGACTGAAGATGGACGCTAGAATGGGTTGAGTGTCCCTTCAAACCAACCCCCAAGGGTACCCTCCCAAAAAAGCAAACACCCAAATTCGAAAAAAAACCAGGTCAAATTGATTCGCTGACCAGCTGTTTATGCTGAAGCCAACCAAAGGCATGAGTTGAAATGAGTTGGACATGTCCCCTAACTGAACCATCCAACTGGTGGTTTCCTTTAAGGGGAACCTAACCGCTTCAGAACCCCAAATCCTCTTGATCCCCTGCGAGCTGAGAACCAAGGTGAGATGTGCGTCTTGTGGCTTTTCTGGAACGTTGCCAACCGGCCAACCAGTTTTGACAGGGCCCCCTATCTGTTTCCGTTTAAAAAGCCACGGCAAAAAGCTTTGGGATTTACGCCCACCTCTTTCATTCCCTGAGGCCCGGCTTCGGCAAATCGAAAGCTTCAAGGGTCAAAGTAGGTGCTTTGCTTCGCGCCAAAAAAAAAAAACGCCCCAAACGCCCCAAACCCTCAAAACCCCGAAGAGATTTCGTGGGTGTTTCTGTTGCACGAGTACACCCTCCAAGTACTTTCGACTACTTCTGGCTGCTAGGTCCATGACTACCAACCCCAAGTCTCGATTTGTTTGGCCATGGCACAAAAAAAATTGTCCACTCGTGTTCCCTTTTAAGACCATCCCCAAAAACTGCACTCCACAAAAGAACACCAACCGAAACCAAAACCCAAACCAACCCCCGCCCCCCCCAAAGCCCAAACCCCAAACCGCCGAAGCCAACCACCCCGAAAACTTCTTTGGCCGAAGCGGCGCGCCATTGGAGCTGCCAGTCTCCATGTCACCTGGCCTGGCTGCGAGGGTAGTTCTGGACGCCACACAGCTTGGGCTTCGAAAAAGAGCTCGTGACCTATACAAGCCCCTGAGCGGCTCCAAACCAGGTATACCAAAATGACCAAGAACTGTGGATACCATTTCCGCAAGATGTTGCAAGGAACTCAACAAAACACCATAGATGATTGCCAGCGTTTTTGTTCTTCTTCTATTCTCTACTTGCAATACCCAGGAGATCAAATCTGGATCTCATAGTCGTCGTCTTTGCAGGGGCGTCTTTGGGAACCCCAAAGAGGGCTTCCTTTCTTCCCTACTTGCGACATGTTTAGGAAATCAACCGTGCAGCGCTAGAAAGGGTATCAGTTTCTCGTGTGAATTGGAAAAGTTCCTTGCCCTCAGATGCGCATCAGAAAAAAATGCATGGGAGTTGATGTCCACAACCATCTTTGCGGGTGTTGCCTGTGGCAATTCCTAAAAACTCATAGCTGGTGTGTCACTAGCCCCCAAACCACTAGTGCAAGTGGCAATATTAGAGCAGCGGACCATCGATGCTGCAGGTTGGCTTTGGGCGGCGGTTCTTCCGTGGCAATATTGTCTGCTCAGAAAGTGAATTTCACTTGGTTTCTAGGGGTACGTGTCAAACTAGGGGTACGTCCTCAAAATGGGGGGGTGTCTTTCTGTCTCCACCCGGAAAAGGGCACCCTCAACAAGACCGCTTCTGCGGCTCGCTTCTCGCAGACTGCCCTGACCCCCCGACCCTCGCCTGCAAGCGGCGGGAACCCACACACACCGCGCGCGCGGCGTACGCGCGCGTCCGCGCGCCCGCGGGGAGAAGTGGACAGCCTCAATGCGTCCTGTGACTTCGACTCAAGGCGTCCTGCGGCATAGATTCAGTCGTGCAAAAGCGCATGTCTGGTGTATGATGCTGCCAAAAAAAAACTGCCGACACCACAACTGATTTGGGTTGACCTGGAAGCTCAATATTGTTGGGCCCCAATGCTAAAATGAGGGACAAAAGCGCCCATATGAATGTTTGGGGTCTGGCAACTTGTTCACTGGTTTCACCTTTGGTCCCCAGCATGCAACATGTATCCTAACTTTGCCAGGAGAATGCCATCTTAACAAGGGAGTTGTAGTCCTTGGCCGATTTCCAAGGAAAGCTCGATTGCCATTGGCACGAAATTCATGGAGGAAAAAAAGACAAGGGCAGCTGCCTGTGGTTTGAAAGGGAAAAGGATGCAAAAAGGAGAACCGAAACCCATTTGCGGGTCCGACCTTCAAGAGGACACACCCATTTAAATCTCGCAACGTGGGGTTCTAATAGATCTCACTCGCTGCGCCTCGCTGGAACTTCTTTGGCCCAGCTTGAGCCGAGGGGGGCAGTTCAACCAAGGTGTTTCAAGGATGAGGCAACCCACCCACCCACCCACCCACCCACCAACCAACCAACCATCCGACCAACCAGACGCGCCCGACCCCAACATATAACCTCTCTTCCTTGATGGAAAACAACCCGGGCCCCGGGCGGCCATTGAAGGCCACAATAAACTTGCAGGCGCTCAACTTTTGCTTGGCTTAGTGGTTGGCTCTCCATTTAACCCACAAGTAAAAAACAACCATGTAGCAGGGGATCTGAAAACGGACAGCCCAATTTACTTGCTGGTGCGATCAGCAGGGCATGACCTTTCAAGATCGGGTGTTGGTGGAATGAACCGGTTTTGGGGATTCCCGAATACTAGGACACCAATTGGCCATGGCTCAAAAATAGGTACCCCAAATTGAACCCTAGTAAGTGGTAACATGGACCAAAACCTGAGGTCCCCTGGTGCTTAATATTTTGACCCATACCCAAATCGGGGACGGTGTTGCAACAGGGGGCATTCCGCTTCCCATTCCCTGCCTATCGAACCAACAAGCAAAAGCAAGCCTCTTTAGGCCGTCCGACAAACAACAACCCAGTCCAAATTCTAACGGTTAATTCCCCATTCTTTTCAACCATCGTTCTTTTCAAAAACCGATCGCCGTTTTCCTTGGGATTCTCAAGGTTTTCTAGAAAGAACGATCCCTAGAAAGAATGGGGAAGGTAACAATAGACAAATAGGCGCCTTCGACTTCCAAGCAAAGGCCTCTGACATGTTCAATGAAACAAGAAAAGGCAACGGATGGAATCCAGAGATGGAATCCTGCGTCTTTTTGATGGTACCCTCCAAAATGGGTGGGTGTCCTTTTGGTTTCCTTCAAAGCCACTACCCTTGAAAAGACAGACCTAGATGCCTAGATGGGGCCAATGAAAAACATCTTTGCCCATTGGGGTTCTTGTGCTCATTGATTTGAAAGTAGCCGTGGATGTGGGCAATAGGCCCTGAGTTGTGACCCAACCGGAGACCAAAATCGAAACCTCTAGGGGGCCAGACTTGCTTCCTGCAAAATACTCTAGAAAGGACCTTGGTAAGACTCATTCAGAGAAACTAACCTACTCTTCAAAAAGACACCTTCTCTTTACAGGTAGTATAGCGAGGACACCCATGGTATCCCCTGCAGGTTCATGCCCCGTTGCTGAGCAACGGGAAAAAATCCGAGCTGACTTTGGTTCTGTAGAGGTGGATACTGTGGATACTGGGAAAAGAAACAGAAGCATTGTCCTTCGAGAAAGGTGCTTGCTCTGGTACAGGGAAACGGGCTCTACTAACTTGACTGTGAAAGAGGAAGGAAAGGGAATCTAATTATGAGCATGAAACAAGCTGCCATTTGCTCAAGTCCCCTGGAAAACAAATGAACATGTCCAGTGGTGGTAGATCCCTTTAAAACCAACAGCGGAAAACTAAACATATTCTTCAGCAAATGGAAGCAACTTGCGTCAAAAGCTGGGGAAAACCGTCTGCCAGGGACTCCACAGATGTTGTCTTTTTTTGAAGCCCCCCGTGAGCCTATTTGAAAGAAGCCAAGCGGACAGAGTTTGACATGTGGGCGTGTCTTTTTGGAGAGTACCGCTTCTTTGTGGATGGTTTCAGGAAAACCTAAAGGACACCACCATTTTGGGAGGTCCCCTTGGAACAACACACACACACAAACACACACGCACACCCTCTTGGCTGGTTTCAAGTGCACCTGAAGGGAAAACCACAAACTCCACGGGCAGACTTCGTATGACTCCAACGGCAGAATCCCCAAAATATGGCCTAAACACTGACCTGCTGAGCTGGCTGAGTTCGAACCTTCGCAAAAAATAAAATGATGCAAGATCCAGGCCGCCAACATGCCATAGCCGTTTGCAGCTTAGTTTCGGTTGGGGACTCCACTCGGAGGCAGGGTTCCTGAGGTAGGTCCCCAAGAACTCTCTCGCAAACTGACTGCCCCCGAAATGGACGACCTGTGGGGAAATAGATGGGGTCCCTGGCACATGGGGCAAGGCCATCGAAACCAGTCCAGCCCGTCTACTTGGAAGGGGAGCCAAAAAAATCAAATTTTCGCAGTTGGGTGGTTGGAGTTCAACCACTAAACTACAATAAGCAGAGACGTTTCTAATGTTTCCCAACAACAACCATGGTAAAGGAAACCTCCGAAAAAATCAAACCAGTCAAGCCATCTAGTTCTTACCAAATCTATCAAAAGGACACCCCTCCCAACCCATCCCAAGACGACGGCCACGCGAGCCTCCTGCAAGGCCAACTCCTTTGCCGAGGCCTCAACCTCTCAACACTGACGAAGAAGCACCTGGGACCCTCAGTCTACCCCGAACAAAAAGGCCGGTTTGCTCGGCCCCCCCAAAAAAATAGTGGGTTTGTCCCTTAGAAGGCGCAAAACAGCGGGCCCTCTTGGTAGCTGTTGAGCCCTCTGCAAAAGAACCCACTTGGTTTCAACCGGAAGAATAGGTCAAAGTCTACAGGCCCAACCCAAGCTCGCAACATTTCGCAAGAGCTCCCAGTCCGGGGCTCCCTTCCCACCGGGCAGCTCCTCTGCAAATTGCCCATCGCGGTTGGATTCACCCAAGGGCCTTCTGGAAGAGCCCCCAGCACAGGAAACGGCTCGAAAAATGGAGCCCCCGCAGCTCAAAGGGAAACTCGAAGGCTTGGCCCAGGAGATGTGACAAAAAGCAAACCTTTCGTGTCCGAGCCCAAAAAAAAAAACCACCAACAAGGCACCCAGCCTCAAACAAAAGACGCAGCCGGACGAAACGAAATGGCAAAGGGAAATTGAAGCGCAGGTTCTCGTCTTGGTTCCATTTGCCATTTGGGCACATCTTTTTGAGCCACGGCCATTTACCCTCAAGAATCCCAGCGAACCACGTGACGAAACTCCCGGAAGCTGCATCCGTTCTCTTTCGGCGCAAGTCTTGGCCCAGGCACGCTGGATCATTGCCCGCCATGGTAACTCACCGGGTCCCGGACTCAGGTGGTGTGATCCAAATGGATTGACATGCCACAATAGGACGCGTAAAAAGAAAAACCCAAAACAAAAGTTCCGACTTCTTGCTGTTTAAAAGGCATGAAAAAGGCCATGATTGGGGGTCAACTTCCCCCCCTTTTGACACATACACAGCCGGTACATGTTTTTGAGGGCATTTGTTTGTACATCACAGACACCGAACAGGAACACACACTTACACAGCCGATGAATGGCTTTGAGAGCATCAAGACGAGAAGAAGAAAAAGCAACAAAAACAAAAAAGCAAAAAAAGAAAAAACAAATAACTAATAATAATAATAAATAAAAATTAAAAAAAAAAAATCAAAAAAAGGATGAGCGTTCCCATGTTGAGAGCCCCACCCCTTTCCCACTTTTCGGCCCCGCCTTGTCCTGCAGGCTCCGGCGCTCACTCTTCGCAGCGGCCTCCTGCGTGTGCCAAAGAGAAACCGTTTCTCGCTCCGGGAAGCGGGACTCCGGGACTCCGACACGGCGGGGGAAGAACAAAGAAAGGAACAAAAAAAAGACGGGTGAAGAGAAAAAAGGGGAAAAAGGGGAAGAAAAGAGGGGGAAAAAAGGGTGGCTGTGGCTGTGGCTGTGGATGTGGCAGCCAAAAAACCGGAAGGAATTCCTTAAAATGGCGCAAGCCCTGCTAAGTGGAAACATGGGTAAAGCAAAACCTGCGGTTGGCCCCTCCTGTTTAATGTTGAGCCACACCCGGGTGGGGTCGGATACCCAGCGGTTTGGGGACATGGCCTTTCTGAAAGATGTGAACATATGTCAGTGGCCCCTCGTCTGGCGGTTTGGAACTTGGCTCGTGAGCCTTTCATTTCTCATTGGTTCGGGAGGGACAAGGGACACCCTCCTGGAACGCCTCCATTTCACCAATCCGAACCGGGGAAGCTGAATAGGAGGGTGTTTTTTCTTTCGCTGCCCGTGGGTTGCGAGCCAAAGGGAACCATTTGTAGGGCCCCCGATCAAGTTGGGAAGACAGATGGGGAAGAAGCAAAATTGTGCCAAACAAAGGCATTCTTGGCCAATGTTCAACCACAAACCTCCGCCTGACTTGGAATCGGTTCTGCCATTTGTTTCGTGAAGGGGCGAAGATATAGATATCATGATATCACCAAATGTGGACCCAAATGTCCAAATACAAAATACAGACGGCAGGAAAGTAAGTCACCAGGGCGGAAACTCACAGATGAATAAGCCTGGCGAGTATTCCGTCCACCCACATCCCTGCCAATCGATTTGTCTGTGCCAAGCGTCCACCACACCTCCAACCCTGCGGAGTTCCTCGCTCGAAAAACCGTGCGTCCAAAAAGAAACCGCGGTTGAAAGCATGACGTTTGTTGGTATTTGTAGGTGACCCATGGCGCAAACTGGGCCCGAAATGGAATCTAGGTCCCCCAGCAGTGCCCTTTGAGTCAAATCAGAAACCAGGGTTTCTTAGATGGTTCCCAAAGAAGAATATGGAACCCAGAAGCCCCAAAACACGCCGGTGACGGCCTTCAGATCGCCTTCCTCCCCCGTTGCCCGTCCTCTGCCTCGCGCTGCGTCATTGCCAGCTCTACCTTGGACTGAAGTTCTGCCACCTGCAGATCCAGTGCTCTGCGAAATTCCGGCCCGATGTCTTGCGGAGGCGATTTTTTGGGTTTTTTCATGGACCACATGTCGTTTGAGAGTCAATTCCGGGCTAGTCTTGCTACTGTATCATCTATTCCTGTCGTCATTGCTACTGTTCTATAGGCATGCCCCAACAGAATTCAAACCCACTGGGAACGGCGCCCTTTTTCAAGTTCTCAAGGCTGCCATGACTTCACCCTCTAGCCGTGCCGTCGCGTGGCCAGACCATGTCCAGCAACTGCCATAAAAAGCAGCTTGCGAAAAAGGGCGCCAAGCGGCAATTAGGGCCCCAGAAACGGAACTCTCGCATTGGTCAAAATGGACGTGGATGCGACCTGATTGGTTTGTTTCCTTTTAGGGTCACCTCCAAAAGCGGCAACGATTATCCCCTGGTCTCCATTTTTGACGAATCCTTAAGGGTCTGTCTTTGTGAGGATACCCTTTTTGGGTTGAAAGGGAAGCGGGTGGGTTGAAAGGCCCACCAAAAAAAGGGGGAGGTCCCCCATGGGCACGGGCCATTCTGAGAAAAAAAAAAAAACAGGGTCCAACCTGTGCCCAAACCAAAAGTTGATCAGTTTACTGACGGGTGCAAATAACCAAAGCCACTTCGGAAGGCACGAAAACCAAAGCGAAGTCTACATCGGGTATTGTGATTCAAAAAGCGACGAATATCCCTTGTTTTTTTGCTTTTTTTAGAAACAAGAGTTGGGTCATCCATGGCTGAAGTGTTGATTGCACGTCGCCTCATACTTTTGGATCCTTCACAAAATCTGGGGGGCGGCGTCCTTACATGGTTGATGAGCTTGCGGAGAGAAAACAAACCGTGGATCTTCGTAACAACAAACCTTTGATCTTCCCAAAAACAAACCTGTGATCTTCCATTTCGGCCCGTCTCGTTTCGGATCCTTTCCGTTACCTTTCGTTTCCCCGTGTGGCCAGGTCCAACGGAAGGTCACAGAATCCGCAAGGAACCCCCGCGGCGCATCCCACAGCGGTCTTCCTTATACTTTCCGACTTTCCCTTTCAACTCACCAAAAACAAGGCATCCTCCAGAAAAAGAGACAGACCCAAAAATCGCCCTGTAAAAAAAAGAAAAGAAAAGACAAACCCCAAAAATCGACACCTCCCAGGGCCCCTGCTTTTTAAGGCTACCCGTGTTGCGGAATTTGCGGCCGACGAAGGCAGCGGCGGCTCCGCGCCTCCGCGTCGCGGCGGCCGATGAGCGCCTCGAGCTCCGAGGCCAGGGCGGCCTGGCGGCTCCTGCGACGTCGGAGAAAACTCCGCGGGAGCCGCCAGTCTCCCAGGGTTCCATCGGGTCACCGGGGGGGTAACCGATTTGGGATCCTATTTTGGTTGGTAGGTGAGTTCACCACACATTTGAGAACCTGTAGAGGGGATTGAGATGTTCACTGGGGGGTAACCGGGGTTTTGACCCATGGCCATTTGGGTGGGCGGGGTTCGGGCAATGCTTAAAGCAATGGTTGGTGGCCCCCAGCCGTCTGGTTCCAACAGCTTTTTAGGCTTTTAGGGCTGAGTGGGTTTTCCATTTCGCCCATTTCGTCTTAACTTACTTGCACCGTTCGTTCGTGATATAACCACCGGCCACGTAACGGACCATCATGCGGGGCACTAAAAGTTAAACTTTTAGCAGGGGATCCGAGGGCAGAATGATTTGGTTCATTTTTTCCACCATTCTCTACCTGAGAGTTGTCGTCCGCATTCCCTCACCATTCTTTTGATGGGGTTGGGGCGGGTGTGTCTTAAAATCGGGAACCCCCCCCCCCCCCCCCACAAAATGTTTGGTCTCCTCTTGGGTTCCCTAGCCACTCCAAAAGGCTTGGAGTGTCAGGTTTGGCCAGACAGGGTCTCAGTGGAGCCCTCCTCAGGTTTCATTTCAGAAACCGCTCACTTTGGGAGTCCTTCGCAAAAACGGGATTGAAATGGTGGTACTAGAGCCATGTCAAGAGTTAAGAAGGCGGATGTTTAGCAGTATTGACGGTTGGGATTGTCTTCTGTTCTTTTTTTTATCAACCTTTGGCTGGGAAGGGGATCACAGATCCGTGTAGCTGGTAAAGGTATGGAACCAAAAGGATCCATGCTGGTGTCGAATCCTTTCCCAGTGGAACCATTTAGGGTTCCCTTTATCTATGCTCTGAACCACTGGATTCTTAGCGGATCCATGTTGGGTCCGGTTGGCTGGAGGAATCAAGGGGGTTCTTCCTTCAGTGAATCCGCCCGAGGGGTTTGGGTGGGTTTGGGTGGCTGAGAAGGGAATCACCAGGAAGGTGGCCACTGGTAACCAGTTAGCTACCTATGCTGTGAACCAATGGATTACCTTCCTTCCATTTAGATGGCAACCCAGGCAATCACCCTTTGAAGCTGGATACCCACAAGGATAACTGGGATCCGGGTTTAGTAGGGGGGCCATGTTTGAAGGACCAATTGGATGCTTCCATTTGAAGTTCCCGTCCGTAGAGAGCACCCCAAAGAACGTACCGAGACAAGGGAACCACACATGTCTCACTTCGGCAACCTGAAGGGTCTTGGAAGGCTGTGCAATGTGTGTATATATATATGTATATATATATACGGGAGCCCAGAAATAAACCTCTGGAAAATGGGTGTCCCATGTTCGATGGGACATTTACTGTTCGGAACCCCTAATAATCCAGCAGGCCTTTCAACATAAATATGAGTGTGTCTTCTTTCAGGCTACCCCAAAAATGGCAAGTTCCCCTTTGGTCTCCTTCTACACCAACCCAAAACGAGTATCGCCAACAAAAGACGAGCCACCCGTCTCGGGTCAGCAAAACGGACCCTCAGGCCGGGCTTCGCTGAAAATCGCGCAGCCTCTGCTCATGGCACTCTCCGCAAACCCCTGTGAGCAGCTTTGCATCCGAAAAAGAACGCACCTAAAACCGGGGGGGGGGGGGGGGGAAAACGGCCAAGATCAAGGTGGGCATCTGGTTTTGGATGAGTATATGGCTGTGGGTCGAAACTAGGTGCCCAAAATGGAACCCTGGTGGAGAAGCAGGGTTCCAAAAGCTGCTGTTGCCCTGGTGCTTTCATTTTGACCCATACCCATATGGCCATGGGTCAAAAGCCCGTGTCCCCACTAAAATCGGTTCTAAAATGGGTGGTGCACCCAATCCCAACCAAAATGGGAAATCCCAAAACGGTTTTGACCACACCACAGCCCATATGTTTTCTTTTTTTTCCTCCCCGAGGATGCATTAAAAATATGAGGTGTGACCCTTCTCGTAACTTCTCCTTCGCCATGGGATCGATCGAAACCCACTGCCCCCACTCCTCCAGCTCTCCGCCTCGGAGCTGCGGAGCTCCCGCTCCGCCTTCAGCTTCACCTCAGATCTTTGCGCCCACGAAACCGGAGCGGAACGGAAAACGCCGGCGGAACGCTGGGACTCTTTCCCCTGTCGACATGCGGTTTGTTTTTGTTTGTTTCCTTTTCTTTTTCTTCTTTCTGGGCTTGAACATTCTGGGTGCGTTTGGACCCACTCTTTGCTACTTGCGCTTTGCTTCTTGCCTACGTGCTTGCTACTTGGTCTTTCGACGGCGCTGACCTTCTCCAAGCATCGGAACGAACCGAGTATCCAGCATCCCCAAAGCTGCTGCAAGCCGCCGGAAAACGTGGCACCATGTGGCCGTGTGTCAAAATGAGGGACACGGTGGGTATCCCCCTGGTCCCCCTTGAGAATCACCCAAAAAGGGTACCCTCACAAAAAAGACAAATCCATGTCTAGACAACGCAACATTTGCCATGACCGATGATCCAAGAACCGTCCAACATACCTGGCGAGCATATCGCAGGAGGTGCTCAAAAGGAATGTCGACGGGTTCTTGGCGAATCCCGCTCTCCCAATCCCCCCCCTTGGGTTGATGTCAATCCTGACCACAAAGGCATTTACGGAGATCATAGTTCTTCAAAATATATATGTATACCCCTTAAAAAGGCAATTGCGGGGTCCCTCGGACGTCCCTGACATCCTTACCAAAAACAAGCTTAATCCTAAAACACACCCTCATGCCACCCACTCACAAATCAATCCTGAGCCGACGACAGGACAACCCAAACGTCGTCATGCTTAGCTCAGCGTCCAGTGCACCCAATGCTGAACTTGCCAAGCCAACTGTCCAAGCCACCAAGCAAGCGAGGTTGCCAAAACCATGAAAGCCTGGAAGTTTAAAAGAGATCAACGTGCTAGCTCGTGCTATTTCCCCTAAAACCAGAATTCCAATTTTTTTGAAACCGCCAAATGCCGGCGCTTGATCCCCCCCCCAGATGTCCAGCCGTCGAAACCCACCCCTGCCGTCCGCCCCTGGCCTGCAGCTTGTGCTCCGCGTCTTGCAGGCGGCTCAGCTCCGTCCGCCTGGCGCTCGCGGCGCGAATCTACGGGTTCAGCGGGGTCTTTTGGCCAGAAAAATGATCCACCCCCTCGTGAAGGGTTCCTTTTTGAGGGGGTCGCCCATTTTCTCACACAAGGTGGCAAAAAGACACCCCTCAATGGGTTTGCGTGGGCAAGCTGCTTTCTGTTGGCTTCAAAGGCTCGGCAACCCAATTGTTGAGGACATCTACCAAGCCCACCCGCCACCCACCCACCACCCATCCACCTCCGCCCACCCACACCCGCCCGCCCACCCAACCCCATCCGTGGTTTTTGGCTTGCGTCTGGTTTGTTGTTTGCCACTCCTGGCAAAAACAACAGCATCCTTGTAGCATCTACTAAGAGGCCCTGCAACAGAAAGCAGCTCGGTCACCCTCATCCGTAGATCCCTCCCCAAGACCAAGCTACGGACTTGGGTTGCCAAGCTGCTTTCTGTTGGCTTCAAAGGGGGCGGGACTTTGGCTGACCCATTGCCCTCCAGCGCCGTGCCCAGCCCCCGCAGAGGTAAGACTCCATCAGCACCCCGCATCTTCTCGCGACCGCGGGGGCCTTTCCTTCAGTTTTGAGCCCCCATTGTGCAAGTAAAACCCAGGCTTCGTTGTACGGGGTTGGAACGCCCAAGTGTGCTCAAAGGGGCAACCACCAGCTCACCCCACGAGACCAAAAAAGGGACAGGGGGGCCAACAAAGGGATCTGTGCTCGGCATGATCTCCACGAGCGAAGCCGTCCAATCGGCATATGTCGGTTCGTGTTCAGCCGCAACGACCGCCTTTTGAATTACACTGACCACCCGCCTCTTCTGGGTGTGTTGCTTTTCGCTCCCCCCTCCCTCTCCCCCTGGAATGAAACAATGAGCTCCTGAAAAAAGGCGCGCAACCACTTGCCAGTGGGGGAAGATTTGGACCCCTTGAGACGCCCTCTTTCAGGCAGGCCAACACGCAACCAGAACGGCCTGGCCACAAACACGCGCCAAAGAGGCGAACACCGTCCTCCCTCCCCCCAACGGACCATAGCCACAGGGCTTACATCAGCTTCCGGAAAAATCGGAAATCCAAGACATCATCATTATAGAGGAAACCACTCTCACCCCGATGATTAAAGTGAGGATCAAAATGATGATGAAAATGATGATGAAACTGATCACGAACACGATGATCATGATATCCCCAGCCAGTCAGGCTACATAAGTTGCTACAAGTGCATTGCTATGATGGGCGGGTGCTCCTTTTAGTTGCCTTTTCCAGCCAACCCCCAAAATGGTACCCTTGGAAAAACAACAAACTCACTTGCAAACCCCCCCGCCCTCACAAAAAAAGAAAAAGAACAAAAAAGAAAACAATGAACGCAGGCGGGATCTGCCCATAACCCCTGGTAATGTGTACCATCCAGAAAAATATTGAAGAACGATATGGATCAGGAAATGAAAGGTTGAATGTGGGGTTGACGTTTTTCTATTGGATCCCGGTTTCTAAAGAGATTTCCGAGTCCACCCAAAATCATCGGTCCCAAGAGCACGCAAACTTTGTTGCGGTTGACCCCTCTGCAAAAAGTGCTTCTCTTTTGGTGGGTTTAATGGAAAACCCCTTCATTTCCCAAAAAGGTTAAAGTCTAGAGATCCAACCCAACAGCAGACAAGCGAAGAGCCCCTGAAACGAGCAAGCGAGCCGGGCGCTGGCATCTTCTTGTCCTCCTCGGCGATCCTGGCGCAAGCCAGGGCTCTGAGGGGGGTGGGTCCCCAAATTCCGTTTGTCTAGTGTTCCCATCTAGGTCCTCCAGTAGAGAGGTTGGAATAAGGGTGCCGGATTTTTATTTTTATTTTCTGTTTTGTCTATTTTAGTAGGGGAACCCTCCCCCAAAAAAAGTTGGGTGAGAAAGGCACATAGATGGGAAAATGGGAATTGGAGATCTCCAGGGGCTGGAGATCTGTGGCGAAAGGGCCTAAAGGCCGAGCCTTTGGGTGTCCGAAGAAAAGGATGCATGGGTACCCACAAAATGGTTTGTGGTGTTCCTTTAAAAAAAAAGGACCAAACGGGGTACCCTCAAAAAGATAGATTTCAATAGCTTCTTGGTGCATTTAAGGGATGCTCAAGTGTGTCAAGGCGTGCCGTCCCAACATGGAAATGCGTTCCTGGGGGGGGTGGGTGACAGTGCTCTCGGAAAACAAGTCTGTGCCCCAAACCAGTTTGCGGGATGTGTTGTTCATGCTCCATCCCGCCTTTCAGTGGTTCGTGGCTGAACAGACACAGAGCAACATACGTATGGCTCTTCTTTTGCCACTCGGCAGATCGCGCAGGGTAATCAACCAAGCGTTACATCGATATGGTTTCAAAAGGACTCAGGAGCAAGAAGGCAGGGATTCAATCCCCTGTTCAAGCATGTTTGACCACCTTTAAACAAACTCCGTTTGTTTTCCCTCTAAACGGGGCCAGGCCGGGTTGCTTCAACACACGTTGCAACCGACAAGAGAGACGCCCTAGACCACTGCCACATCCCAATGACGGTCCGCCAACTCTACATTGCGCTCTATACCGGAAATCCAGAAACCCAACTTGGAGGGGCTGTTTGCTTCGGGGCCATGGATTTTGCCATCCACAACTGGCTGGCTTGGTCAAACTCCTAAGGCAAAGCCAAGCTCATAATATTGCCCAGGCGTTTCATGATCTCCCTTGGTTACCGCCCTCGCCTCCCCGCCCTGAGAAACAAATGAACCAAACACTGCAGCTTCTGCCCTCCGACTTTCAAATGATCAGGTAAAGTTCTAGGCTTGGCAACCAAGAAATTTCCCTGAAACTTGGCCCTGTGATACCAGCGCCGATCATTCCCATAGCTTCTCACTTTGAAAGGATGTCCAAGAAACCGGCCACCAGTTTACCTGAGCCTGTCTAACCCAAAAATGGGCTTGGGAGTTGTTCGGTAGGTTTCCCTTTTTGGCCAACCAACCTAAAAGGGAAATTTAGCACGCTGCCTGTCCAAGAGCTCCCGCTCCATGCTCTTCAAGCCCTGACCTGGGCTTCTTGGAGCTTCCAAAAACGTTGGTTCGGTGAGCCGAATCGGTCGCTTGGTGAAATGGAGGGGGGTCCCTTTAAAAATAGGTTGATATTTGAATAAACAAGGTAAACAAAATGCTATCATAAAGATTGACCAGAAACAGGGTTAAGTTAATGGAAAGGAAAATGGAGGGTAAGTGGGTTACCTGAGTTGGCGGTTGAGGAGGGCATTCCCATTTACCCGCTACAAGAAACTGGTGCTATCTGAGAAAGGGTTGCCAAGGAACGCAGGCAACCCTTAGCTCCGGGATTTGGAGCTTCGGATTTGGATTCCACAAAAACTTGAACCGTTACTTCTTGAAGCTCAGTGGGAACCCCCCCACCCTGCTCAGACCACCTCCAATTTGAGAGCCGGGGGTTTCTCAATCTCCGTGGTGGTCAAGGGCCCCCCGAAAAGCGTCTGGGGGCCAAGAGCGCCCAACGGTGCTTCTTTTTCAAGCCTGTTGGGGTCCAGTATGTGCTTTTTGCTGGGATGCCACTTGACATCCCTAGAAACTCGTAATTTTCATGGCACCCATCTGACGCTGCCCTTTTTTTTTAAAGGTACCTTTTTGGGCTCTTTCCAAAAGGCAAACCACAATTTCGAGGGCTCCCCCTGGCCCTAAATCAGTATATGGGAGGGTCGTCTTTTTAACCTAGTCGTTTTTGGGGTTGGTTTAAAGCGAAAAAGAAACACCCACCATTTTGGGGTGGTCCCATAGTTCAACCACAGCAACCAAGGGATGAGCTCTTTTTTTTGCCCACGGCCTACGTGGGTAAACAGCTATTTCTTCACCCTATTGTTTGTGTCGGTTTAAAGGGAAACAAAAGGAAAACCATAAGTTTGGGGGGGTCCCCTAAAAAAGACACATCCACTTCAACATGGCCCACCCTGCAAACAAAAAAGGGACAAAGGAAGAAATCGGGCCCCCGGCTGAATGAGTGCGCCGCTGACTGCACCTGGCGTACAACATTTCCGGCGTGTCTGTGCCCAGGCGCACCGGGTCAAGGTGTAAAGTCCGATTCTGAAGTCTCATACCTGGCCCAACTGACACCCTGCAAAGTTCGGGGTGCCCAAGAAGTAAATGCTCCAAGAGGAATTTTCAGACTCGCTCAAGGTCAAAAAGTTTATCCGGGGAGCCACAAAACTGCCAGACTCTCGCCAGATTGCGATTCCCAGTTGGCAACTCGCCCGTTTCCATTGCTCAGGGTTGCCCCAACCCGATCAAGGCTCCTGGTGGTTCCTCCAACATCACCCCCACCAAAATTCGCTTTTGACAGGCCCCAAAAGGTGACAGGTAGAAAACCCGGCCCATGCGGAAAACAACAGGAAGCCATACCAAAGATTTAGCCTCGTGGCTTGGTGGGAATGAACAAAACTCATCCTGGCAGAGGAGCTTCTGGTGCGCTGAGCGATACGATGACAGCACTAGGAGCGAATCCCCACCCGTAATTGGAAATCATGAGCCCTGGTTCATTACTTTCCATGTACCCACTAAGGGAAAGGGAAACTATGGGAATTGTTAAAGAGGATACATTAAGTTAGTGTTGGCGGAGGAGAAAAGGGAGGAGACGAGGATGGGAAGACTCCTTTCGCTACACGACTGCTCTCGAGCGATCAATTCAAGCCTGCGCATGCCCTGCATGACCGTTTTCGGAGCCAGATGGGTGTCTTTTGAGCTTTTTTGAAGCTTGCTTTGTTGGACCCCCCCACCACCACTTTTGTTCACCTTTTTCAGGTCCCAGAGTGGAAGATCTGGAGCCACATTTCACTTTGGCGGAATTTGTTCAATACTGATAGCATGTGAGGCCTAAATTCTTTGGCCCGAGGTGAGACTCAAAAATATGAGCCAACAGATTGAACGTCTCGACTGAAAACTACTTGCTCCCGATGGAATCTCTATGGGCCACCTGTTCGTGGCTATGTAAGTTAGCCGGGTGTAGCCGTGGGAGGACACGGACAGTCAAAACAAGCCCTCCAGATTCACAAGGAACCCAGAAAGCCGGCATTGGCAAAATAATGTCCTTCGCCACTCTTTTCGAGCTCCACGAGAACCAGCCACTGAAATTAGTTTCGATAGGTCTCAATACAATCCAAAGTCACCTGGAAGCCCCCCCCCAAAAAAAACACGGTTCCTCTAGCAATGATGTGGTTCTTTGTTCCACGTTGATCTGCAAGGGAGTATTCAAAAACGGCCGAACCATAGGTGTCCTTTTGGGGGAAATAGATGGATATCCCTGGTAGATGATTAAACCACCAGGTAAACCAGGAATCGCCATCCATTTTTTACCAAAACCACCAAAAAGGACACCTATGGGCCGAAGCCAAACCAAACCACCGGAGGCCTCGGACTTCAGCGACCGCTGGCCAGCGCGCCTGAGAGGTTCCACCCGTGTCGCTTGCCGCGTGGTTTCTGTCGCTTGCCGCTTGGCAGCTGCGATCGGCGCGAGAGATGGCAGGGAATGAGAAATGGCCTGAACCATCCAGCTGGTGGTTTTCTTTCTTCGGGAATTTCCAAATGGTTCATTCCCCGTTTGTTTCTTGGCAGGTGGGAGGCTCTTCCATCTTTAGCTTGCGATCGCGACAGGGAATGAGAAATGGAACGATTGGCTTTGGGATTCCCGCAGAGGAAACCACCAGTTGGATGGTTTATTGGAGTCATTCCCGAAAATCCCTGCCTATCGCACCAACAAGTAAAGGGAAGAACTTCAAACTTTGTTGGACCACTTGCGAGTTGTGCGGGGCGTTGAGGGCTGGCCAGGATTGAAGAGCCTTTGAAAAGGTTCTTGGGGAATCGTCAATGCGCAATCTTCTACTCCCAGATTTCTTGGACAACTTTACAGCATATGGTGGGGGTCTGTTTGATTCAGTTTGCCGTTGCCCAGTTTGACCCCGATTCTCTTGAGGGCCACAGATACAAGAGCAACGATGAAACACACTCCATGTTGATGTATTTATTGCCGAGGCGCAGGTGCTTTGGGGGGGGGGAGGGGTACAACATATTCTATACATCTTTGTATTTGATTATTTCGATACAACATTTAATATACATGTGTATGCGCTGGGGGCGCAGAAGCCCTCGATGAATAGAACATAGTTATTCCAGCGTCGGAAAATGAGTTCCGAGCGAAGTTCTGCTTGGGAAGACCTCCGTTGTGAGGGCCGTGGGGATTGGGTTTGATCCCAGTGCACGCCTGCTCTTGAGGGAGCCTGAAGTGTTCAGGGTCAGAAAGGAAGGGAAACCAAACAGAAGCCAACCTAGGTCCTTGAGTAGACAGCTTTGAGTAAGGGTGACAACTTTATTCTGTAGTCGATTTTAGTGGGGGAACCCTCCCCCAAGAAAAAGGTAAGTCATAGTGCAGTCTGCAGCGCTCTTCAAAGATTCTTTTCCGCGACCGCGTGAGTGGCTGAAATCCAAAATTTGAGGGTGGGCAGAGCTGCGAACACAGCCTCCAGGCTGTGTCCGCTTTCTGCCGACCCTCATCGGATTAAGGGTATTCTCATACCCCCTTTCCCGCACACGTCCGTGCTATATTGAACCCGGTCTCGTGGCAATCCGTGTTAAATTGACATCCGGTCTGGTGGTAACTCCAGAATCCGGATACCTAGTGAGGGTCACAGAGAAAACCAGCCCAGGTTCCTGGGCGCCTGTCCCCGCCCCCGGCCCCCGCATTTCAGGCAGCGCTTCAAGCCCAAGCTTCCTAGCTTCGAATGTAAGATGAAGTGTCCACCCGCTGTTTGGGACCCCCAATAATCCGCCGACCTCTCCCGCGCGAAGCTCACTCACAACCACGAAAAGAAGGGGCTGGTGTGGCATACAAATATGGATTCCCAGGACCAGCCCCGGGCTCGCCCACCCTGCCGGCTTGGGGCTGGCCCTAGGGCTTGCCCTAGCCAGGGTTATCCTCTGTTCCCTCTATTCTCGCTGTTCTGTTTTTTTCTCTGTTTCCGCTGTTTCCGCTCTTCTGTCCAATCCTCTGTTTCCGCTGTTTGTTGGGTTTCCGTAGGGTTAGCTGGGGATAGCCCCAGGGAAAGGTCTGGGGCAAGTGCTGGCACGAGGCCAAACCTTGGGAGCAACTTGCAACTCGACAGGCCATGGATGAACTGCAAAGGTAACACGCTCTTAACTTTCGCTCGCCGCGTTTTTCTCTGGTCGGTGCAAGAGATCCTGCCAAGCCTCCTCTGGGCACGCCAAGTACCCCAACAAGCCAACTGCCTGCAAGAAGGAAAGCTACTGAACGCTCAGTGCCAGTTGCAGGCGGCTGCACTTGCAGCCGTTGACCCCACCCTTGCATATTTTCTTCGCACACTGTCCTCCCTGGCGGCATTCTGGCAGAACGCCCAACCCAGCAAGCTCTAGATAGCAAGTTATGGTCAACTTGAAAGCAGACTGCAAAAGCTTGACAGAGCGCCTCAGGACTCTCATCAGCCTGGATCACATCAGAGAACTCCTCAGCCAACATCTCTGCCAGACGTTGCGCATACAGGGGGTGGCTGCTCGAGGCCAGCATCCGGACGCATGCACGTTCAACTCGACTGATGGTCCATGTAAGGTGGGAGGTGCTCCTGCAAATGCCCAAATAGGGCAATCCTTTGGAGAGGGCCTGAACAGCGAGCCCTGCGGACGCGTCGATGATGCAGCCAGCGGCGACAAAGGAGAGCACTGCCGACCACAGGGATGAAGATCTCAGCGCTTCGCTGAAAGACTTGTGAGTGAAAGCAAGGCATCAGCCTAGCAGCTATAACGAACACGCAGGTTCCGCTACCTTTCATCTGGCTGAGCAGTGGGCACAATGGTGTGGAACCTCGTTCCCGGGTTAAAGGGGTGTGCCCAAAATGGAGCCGCAGCTGAACTTGAGGAGGCGACAAGGCTTCCGCTCGCTATGCAACAATGTAGGCAAAGGCCTGCAGTGATCAAGTAAAGACCGAAGATCGCTCGCACACCCACTGCAAAAATGAATGTGAGCTTCCTGCTACCAACGGCCGAAAGGTCGCCTCGCAATCTCTAGCTCAAACGGTCCAAACGTTGACTCCACCCTGGACACGCCCAAGGTCCTCCAAATAGCGCCAAGCAGGAATATGAGGGTACAAGGCACAAAGAGACAACTGAACTGAAAGCTGCTTTTGCAGGCGTTCCAGGATGATTTTGTTGACAATTGGCTTGAAGAGCTTGCTGCATCGGTCATTGAAGTGTGGTGGCTAGACGAAGAAAGCTATCTCCCACCACACGTCAGTCTCAAACCATGGATGCGCACAGCGGAGAGGGCCGGTGTGTCCAGTGGAGCCTTCTGGAAGCACTTTCTTGTTCCCACACCGACCAGCCTTCGAAGGCGGCTGCTTGGCTCAGCAGCGACCTTGGGGCTATAGAACTAGATACCTCAAAAGGCGAATTGTTCTTTTTGTAGCGGGGAGTGGACTTGCAATCAATTGTGGAATCCTTGTCAGCCTGTCGATGCATCGAATCACAGAGCTCGAGCGAACGCTTCGAATCACAGAGCTCATGATTGACTTGCTTGAAAACAGGCCACACCTTCTTGTTGTTGCCTGCTGGTATTTTGCGCCCATGGGCGTTTGCGCGCTAGTGTCATATGTCAACCAACTCTCTGGCCAGCCTCTTTGCGGCAATGGCGGGGGCCCTGGAAATGGTTTGGCCTTCTGGCTTCCCTTCAGCAAATTGCCGCTTACTAGTTGGGTCTACCTACTTGGCCGCTACCGGCTTGTTATAGAAGAACGTCAAAGCTCTGCTTCTTTCGGGGGTGGTGTCTGTGTGCTTCAAAGCATCTTTCCACTCGCGCGCGGCGCGGCCTTGCGCGCGCGGAGCTGCACAAGATCCTGCACACCATGCTGCGACACCGGCGACTCATCTGCCGCGCGTGGTAGCCCGGGAGGCCTTGGAGAGCGGCACGAGCATCGAAAGAGCCCTGCAATCCAGGACCAGCGTGACGCTCCCGAAGCAAGCATCGCACTGCCAACACCTCTTCCACACCTCTTCCAAACGAAATAAAAGTTCCTACACCCCCTCTTACGTCCTCTATGTGACAAACCGTGGGGAAAAGTGAAAGCCTGGCTTGGATTGACAAACGCGCGCCCCGAAGCAGCTTTCAATATGGCAACCAGAAAAGTAGCGAACAAGAATGATCTTTGTTCGTGCAAGGCGCGCGGAATCTCTGTGAGCTTTCTGAACTCGCAGCACCAGTGCGGCGACCAGTGGCCCAGTTCAAGGCCCAGCGCCTTCAGCGCTGCCTTGAAGGCGGGCACTTTGGTTGCCTGAGCATGGAGCCACCTGCAAGGGGGCTTGCCCGGGCTGTCTACGGGCTGCTTGCCTGCAAATTAGGACAAGTAATTGTTGCGCAGCTGGTGCAAAGAGTGGTCTAGGGTCAGCCCCGCAACATCTTGCAGCGGATTTTGCGCTTAGCCGCTTGTGGCACCCTTGCGCTAGAGGGACGGATCAGTACACAGTGGTAACACGCAAGCAATCAAGAGGGCTTGTCCAGGAAGCCGGCAAGGGGGCGCTCCGGGTTGCCACTCCTTGGCTGTTACAGACAGAAGATGACGTATACCAAAGCGAGGGTCCGAACTTCGCAGACTCGCCCGGAGCACACTGAGCAAACACGCGCTTACATAACGCCCTTTGTGTCGGAAAAGCTGGGCTACAAGTCTATTATTGTTAGGCCTTGGGTGAGCTCTTCTTGATGCGCCAGCCCGGCGCAGGGAACAGCCAGGCTGCGACGGTTGAGGTGCTCTTCCAGGCCAAGCCCATCTGGTAAGTTGCGAAGTGGCACGGATGCTTGTCCGGTGTTGGCAGCATCCTGCCCACATCTGACCTCCGTGCAACGAGAAAGCGCCGAGAGCGCCCGAAGTTCCCGACTAGCTTCTTGGCTCAAGTCACGTGTTGAAAACACGGTGAGACCAGCCCACTGCATGCTTGCACGCCCGCGGCATCCAAAGTGCACATACAAATTTGATGGGGTATATCACTTCCTCTTGACAACGATCCCCCCAATGATAAACACCGTCTTTCTCTTTGCCCAAATACGTCACTACTAAACTAGACGAGCCCAAAAAAATACACCAGCATAGACCCCAGATAGCAGCGCTTGCACAACAGCACCTGCAAACCCCGAAGAACACCCCAAGCAAAATCCGGCCGTCAATCGAGCAAAAATGCGTCCGCACCATCACCCTGAAGAGCACCCCGAACAGCAGCCCCCAAGACACCCAGCCGTCAATCTTGCGAAAATCAACCAGCACCCCAAACAGAATCCCAAACCACCACCTAAGCTGCATGCCCCCTTGCAATGCAAACATGCGCCTGCACCGTCACCTGCATGCCCGACAGCACCCGAGCGTCAATATCGCAAAGATACGCCCGCACCGTCACCAGCACCTCAAATCCCCACAAACTGCGTCCCACAGCACCATCAGGACCAGCACCCCAAACTGCGTTCCCCCCTGCACAAATGCGCGCGCAACGTCACCCCCCAAAACAGCACCTGCACAAGCACCCCGAACTGCATGCCCCTAGCACCCTACCGTCAATCTTGAAAAGATGCGCCCGCGCTACCATCAGCACCTCAAACAGCACCCCAATCAGCACCTACACCAGCTCCCCAAACTGCACGCCACCTAGCACCAGCGCATCAATCTCGCAAATCACGTTCCCCTCCTTATTAGAAGCTAGAACCCCTATAGCTTTCAGCTATCTGGGGGAAAAAAGATCCTGCTTTTCCTGGCTGACATCAGTTCCAGCCGCAAAAAGCCCCCAGTCCTTCTCTTTTCGAAGCGCAGCTGCAAACTAAAGGCTGCCCGGTTTTGTTTACAGCATGTGTTGGCTTCCGGAAAGGAAAGGAAATCCTGACCTGCTCTCTCGCTAAGGTGAACAGGCTTTCTTCGTGACTTCGTTCTTTGCTCAAAGGCATTTTTGGGAACACGTGTTTCAACCAGGAAAGGGAAGAGCAGCACGTAAACCAGAAACTGCGGACCCCACCTCCCCCGAACCAATAAGCCAAGCGCACTCTGCAGAAGTCGCTTCGGGGGAGCAAGAACAAGAGCTAGCTGCGCGCTGATGCCCCCAGCAGTAGCCCAAGCAGTTGTGTGGAGCATTGTCGCTGCAAGCTGGGTCACACCACCTTCAGATTGCTGTTCTTTGTGGGGAGTAAAACGGGTAACGCAGCCAACCTAGCGCACACCTTGTCGCACAGGCTCCTGACGTTGAAGCTGAAGCGCGTTGTATCTCTTGTCCGCGCGAGCGCTCAGCAATCTGCTCCAGAATCTGCAAGCCCAAACGTACGTTAAGGGGGGCTGCTTCAACACCTCACAATCGTCAATCGTCTTTGAAAGATGCACATGAATCTGGCCAGGAAGCAAGTCAGGAGGCGTTGCGCCAGTCTACACCCTCAAGCGGCGTGAGGATCGCGACACTCGTGCGATCTGCCACTCGAAAGACCTGGCTTCGAACAAACAACGACAGCTGCGGATACCCAAGCGATGCAAACGGCACGCCTGCACTAAACGATGGGCAACCTCCACAGTGAGCGGCAAGCTTGTCAGGGTGTTCTCAAGGCCATACCAGCAGACCACTGGTTACCAGGTGTGGTTCTGGAAGAGGTCAAGGATACCCTCTGCGTCGTTGACCTCTTTGCGGACCTCTGGCTGGATTGAGGCCGTGGAGCC